GAACTTGTGATCCTCCTATCTTCACCCCCAAGTGCTGGGATTACAGGCCACATTTCGTTTCTGCAGTGCTGGGGATAGAACATAGGGCTTCATGCATGCTAGGCAAGCACTGTACCAACTGAGCTACATCCTCAGCCTGTGTTTTTAAAAAATAAAAACAGGATTTTGACTGACAAAAGGCTTCCTCATTCTAAAAAGAAACTGAGGACTACTGGAGGCTCAGGTTATTAGCCTGGTAGCTGTGGAGAAGTCTCTCCACCTCTCTGGACCACTAAAACAAGTAAATAGTGAAGATAATAAACTTACCTGGATGAGGGCAGAGTACTGAACACAGAGAACCAAGACCCCCCCCGCCCCCCCAGGTTCTCTCCCAGGAGTAATTTAGGGTTACCAAAAATCGCATTATGCAGTTTGACCCACTTGCAATACTCATAAAGGCCACAAGATGGCAGAACTATCCTACAACAAAAACTGTTTCCACAGACATTTCTGAATTCTAACACGTTTACTGAAATTTGAAATTACAGAAAACTTCATTTGTACCTAAGTTGAAACTTTAGGCAGAGGATTTAAACTCTTAGTGACAAATCCTGGGAAAGTTCCCAGTGTTTAATGCAGTTTTATTTTCTCTATCAAAGCACCAAAGAGGAGCTTGACAGAGACTCACACTGAGATGATGAATCCATCCCTTAGGAGTATCTGTTAGGCTGTGTTCTGACACACTGTCTCATGTGTGTCATGAGCAGCCAGAAGAAGGTTGTTGAATGGAAGGGATTTGGATTTGTTGAACTGAACTATTGAATGGCATGTTGGCATCAAATACATGGTATTTTCTTAAAAAACAGAATTTCGTGTTCTAGCTTCTTTTCAATTGCTGTGACAAAACACTGACCAATACCAACTTGGGGAGGAAGTTGACTTACAAATGTAAGTTGACTTACATTTCCCAGTTCACAGTTCATCACCAAGGGAGTCCAAGATGGGAACTCAGGGCAGGAACCTGGAGGCAGGAGCTGGAGCACAGGCCATGGAGGAACGCTGCTTACTGGCTTGCTCCCCTGGCCCCTGCTCAGCCTGCTTTCTTATGCAACACAGGCTCACCTGCCCAGGGGTGGCACCACCCACAGTGGGCTGGGCCCTCCCACATCACTCAACAATCAAAAAAAATGCCCCACAGACATGGCCACAGGCCAGTCCAATGGAGGCAATTCCCCAATTGAGCTTTCCTCTACCCAGGTGTGTCAAGTTGACAACTAATGCTATCCAGCACATCTGTGCTGCCGAAAGACTTGAGATGATTTGTCAAAATGGTCAGAGACAGATTTCAATTTTTCTACATTCCAGGGGTAATCACCTTAAGGATCACGGACTAGGACTTGGGGAGCAATGAGCAGAAAGGACATTTACTGAATTCAGACTCAGAAATTGCTAGGTTAAACCTTGACAACTTACCATTCATGGAGGTTTGTCCACACACAGATGGAATTCTGCAATCATGCATGGTGAGGTGTCTTTACTTCGTCACACTTTGTGGATTGGAAAAGAATGAAAACAGTGGGGTTGGGAAACAACCTGGTCCTTAGCAAGTAGGGTTGGGTACAGAACCTATGGGCCACTAAGACCTAAGTGGAAGTTTGATGCACGTAAGATGGAGTTCTATGAGTGTGGAAGGAAACACAGATGGAATTGCTCTTCCTGTATCTTCCCTGAAGTCGGGTGTGAAGCTGTCATACAATCATGAGGAAGAGGCCCAAGAGAACTGCAGAACGCAGACCCTTAAACTGTTGACTTATTGAATCAATGCCAGCAGCTGCTTCCCTCCAGATTTCTTATAAAAGAAAAATCCCTAAGTCAATGTAGTTAAGTTTTTTGTTCAGACTTGGCCAAAGGAATGCCTAAGTAATACACAGATTATCTGGTTAACAAAGTTAAGCTGCACATGACAGAAGAGAACAAAAGCTTACAATGATTTCATTGACTGAGAGGTACACTGGTCAGTTGAGTCCTGTCATGCAAAGTTTTTAGGGCTGGGGTTGTAGCTTAGTTGTAGAGCATACCTAACATGTAAGGGGCTGGGTTTGATTCCCAGCACCACATAAAAAGAAAAAAAGAAAAAAAAACTACTTCAGGGGCTGGAGAGATGGCTCAGTGGTTAAGAGCACTGACTGCTCTTGCCGAGGACCTGGGTTCCATTCCCAGCAAGCACATGGTGGTTAACAACTGTCTGTAACTCCAGCTCCAGAGAATCTGATGCCCTCGTCTGGTCTTCACAGCATGGCATGCACAGATGTTCTTCCATAAATATAGGTAAAACACTCATACACATAAAAATAAATAAATATATAAAAAGAGCTTTAAAAATAAAACACCTTAATCTAGATCTATAAAACAGAAGATTTTTGTAAGAAGTCTCAGATGCCACCTGCTCATTTTTCCAGAAAATCCAGGGAAAGTTGCTGTGCTCCTAAAGTGTTAGGCACCTCACTTTTTGAAGTGTGGTCCTTGGGTCCAGCAGCTACAGCATTACCTGTGACCTTTCAAGGAGTTAGGCCCCAATCCACACTTCCTCCCAAGTAGGCCCTGGGAGTTAAACAGGGTCCCCAGGTGATGTTCTATCATCCCTGACATTTTTATGGGGATCCTGGAGATTGAACTCAGGTTCTCAGCCTTGTGTGGCAAGCACTTTTCTAACTGAGCCATCTCCCCAGGCCCAGAACATCTTACTTTGAACCATGTCTGTCTCCCTGTCACTTCCCTGACCTGCTGTGCTATCTATATAGGTTCTTGTCATTGGTCTGTAAACAGCCCCTGGAATGGCTGGAGGTTAAAGTCTCCCTACCAGGAGCCTCTCCATCTTGATCCTCATCCTCTGAGCACCTTCTTGGTCCATAAACTTTTATGACCTGTGTCTCTAGAACTAAAGCCTGGGGGTTCCAAGCTGGGGTCCCTTAGCACAAAGCAGGTTTATTGCCTCTCTCAGGGAGGGATTGTGTACCTTTAAATGCAGCCCCAGCTGGAAGTGGGTACATTGAGCTTAGGCAAACAGTGCCAGGCTTTGTAAAACCAATGCGTATTGGCTGGGATTGATGTGCAGGAAGAGACTGGAACACACTGGGACCATTGTAACAAGCCAGGTCCTGGGGATATGGAGACAGAAGAATCTAGGGGAGGCTGTAGACTCCCAGAGCTCTCTGTTCAGTATTGTAACTTTATAGGTTTGCTGTCAATATTCAGGGCTGGAGATGCATCTCAGTGGTAGAGCGCTGGCTGTGTGCAAGGCCCAGGGTTTGATCTCTAGCATTGCAAAATAAGTAAGTGGTGTAAGAGTGTTTTGTGTGTTACCTGGCCCAGATTCCTGACTTGGGCAGTGAATAATAAATAGAGCTTGTGGGCAAAGGATGCAAAAACAGTGAATACCATAGATATTGCTTTATTGTACATTTTATTTATTTGTATATTTAAAAATGTGTATGAATGTTTTGCTTGCATGCAAATGAACCACATGCATGCAATGCCCACAGAGGCCAGAAGAGGGCATTGGATTCCCTAGAACTGGAGTTACAGATGGTTGTTAGCCATCATGTGGGGGCTGGGAACTGAACCCAAGTCTTCTGCAAGCACAGTCAGTGTTCTTAACCACTGAGTGCTCTTTTTACCCCTTATTGTAACAGTTGAAATGGTTATAATGATAAATTTTATGTTAAGGGAATTTTACCACAATAAAAGAGAAATTTTTCCAAGTAGGAAAGGTGAAGGGGAGAGATGGGAGGTAGCATCTTAGGCAAAATGTTTCTAAGAGTTCCTGATGAAATGCTACCGGAAGCAGAGTCAGGAATGGAGCTTGAGGCACTCACTATTCAAGGATGATTGTCAACCAACATGTTGATCTTGGTCAGTTTGCTTTATTCTGCATCAAGATAGCCTGAAGGATTTTACCAAACACCTTGTTAAAATAGAGACCAAGGTGAAGTCAGCTCAAAAAGGCTTGGAAGTTTCATTCAAGGGAGAGGTAGAATCAGCGCCATGGGGAAGCTTAAAGAAACATTTACAAAACTGTAGTCCTGGGTGGTGATGCACACACTTGAGTGTTTACTTCTAAGTTTCTCATTTGCTGAGGTCCTGTGGAAACTGGGAGGTCAAAGCTCTCTTATCAAGGCTGTGTATCATGTTTTCAATTGGCCCTGCTGCCCAAACAGCACCCAGGGCCCCAAACAGCATCCAGGGCCCAGGTCTGATAAGCCAGCTGACCCCTACAGAGCTCTATTCTTCTTTTTAGAGGGGTTGTGGGAGTGATGTGGATAGACCATTACTGTAGAATGCTGTCCTCTAGGCATAATATGGAGGTCACCCTCTTGGACCCACAGTAGCTGTGATTACCCATGTGCAGCTAACCAAGATTGGGCCCATTAATATTCTGCCACTGAGGGAGAGGTGCTCACAAAGTTTCCTGCTCCCCAAGGAGCTGGACATTAGACATTTTCTTCATTGGTACAGTCACTTGTAAGTTGTCTGTGCTCCACGTTCAGTTCATTGGTTCACCAGGCTAGACTGAGTGGAGCTATTTCTTTGGTCTGTTGTTGGTGCTCTACTGGGGTGAATGAGTGTTTGTTCATCTCCCTGGGAAGTTCACACAACTGTAAATAAGGGAGAATAAATATTTAAAAAATATTTTATGTTTTTTTTTTTTTTTTGTCTTTTTGAGACAGGGTCTCCCTGTAGCCCCAGCTGTCCTGGATTCACCATTATGTATTATTTTTATGTGTAGTGTATTGCCTAAATGTGTGTAAGTGCACCTGTGCCATCCAGTGCCCGAGGACAGAAGAGGATGTTGAATACCCTGGAACTGGATTCCCTCCCCTGGAACTGGAGTTACGGATGGTTGTTAGCCACCATGTGCTTGCTGGGAACCAAACCCAAGTCCTCTGCAAGTGCAGCAAATGCTCTTAACAGCTGAGCCATCTCTCCAGTCCCAGAACATAAATACTTTAACCAAGTGGATCTTTTAATCATTTATTGTATTTTTACAATAAAAATAAATTAGTCATACACAAAAATATTCGTTTTGCTGAAAACAGACTGCATTTACTCATATAATTCATCGTCTACTCTCCACCTCTTTCCTTAATAACTTGATGCTGCAAAGGTGACCTAGAGTTGATGGTATACTCTTGGGCTTCCTGCTCCTGGATCTGTAGTTCCCAGTTGAGTCTTGAGGCCCTGGCCCAGTAGACTCTGCTAAAAGCCCTGGAGGTGTTATCAGAGCAGAGAATGATGCCACATGTCCCCAAGCCTCTCCCAGATCCTGCATCACATCTCACCTGCAGCTCTGATTTCCCAGGCAACTGGGAACCTAATAGCAGGCCACATTTGAGAAGGGACAAGAAAGACTTGTGACAAGTTGCTTGCCCTTCTCCAAGTGTTTGGGTGTGAGGAGAGAGCAGATTATATGAGAAAATATAATATTTAAGATGGAAAGGTGGTAATCTTGGTCAGGCACAATACCAGGGGGAAAAACCCCTGAATAGGTCGAAAAGCACAGTCAGTTATATTTGATCTTAAACTCCACGGAGTTTGGCTAATCAGTGTACTAGACGATGGTAAGGGCTGACTTAGAATAAGACACTGTGGCATAGCAACATTCTAGGGAACTGAGTTTGTATAACCAAATGATTTTATACATTCGTGGTTGGCATATGTAAATAAATACCTATTAGGTCCCTTTACAATGAACATACTCTAAGTAATAGAACTATTTTGGTATAGTGATTCACTCTGCAGATAGAGTTCAGAATATATATTTCCTATAAACATCTTGTATTTACAAAGAACAAAATAATAAGTTATAACAAAGTATATCCTTCTGTCAGATGGTTGATGGGGAGCTGGGGGTCCTGGCAGGTGGGAGTTAGTTTGTGTAATAGAATGGATCTCTCTCACTGAGGTTAGGGGCTCCTCTTTTGGAAGATGCTGAGAAAGATGGCTGGAAGATTCCACCTTTTCGTGGTCACTTTTCCATAGCATGACGGAAGTCTCAATGGAATCAGGTATAGGTGATGAAGAGGATGGCTTGGGGTGGAGAGAGAGAATCATTCTGTGTCAGCAAAAAATGCGGGAAGGCAAAATGCTTTTGCAAAATAGATTGCAGGTAAGGGGCGAAAGCTAGCCAAGGCTACCTCCATGGAGATGTTACCCCAGGCCGGCAGTTAGCTGTCCTCATGTATCTATGTCCTCTGTGAAGCAGGGCCATATGGGGGCAGCTCGGCCAAGTCGCTGGGGACTGTGATATGAGGCCACATGCAGCTCAGAGGCGTGTGTACCAATGAGTTCAAATGGCTGACATGGTGGCAAAAGTTAGGAACAGGACAAATGTGGGCCAGGCACTTGCTGTCCCTAACTAGACGAACCACTTAGGGCAGTTCTACTTATAGAACCACCAAAGCCTGGACTTGCAGATGAGCCTGAACAACATGCTGCCAGGCCAGATAGCTGGATCATTTTCCCATGTCCTGACACATGACTGGTGGGCCTCAGCTGCCACCTCTAGGGATGAGTTATTCACCACTAACTCTGGAGTTCCTGTGCTTTCAGAGGCTCCAGTTTGTAGAAGGTTGTTTTTTTTCCTGTAAGGGCTAGCCACTGTCTCATTAAGGCTTCTCCTTTCTTGTCAAAGATGGCTCTCCTGGTATCTCTTTTGCAGGTGGCACACATCAGGAGTCCTTGTGCCATCTCTAACAGTCCCCCCTCTTATCAGGATTGGACATTCCCTGAATCTTATATATGATTAGCCTTCCTAAAGTGGGCAATAACAGACACATGCAGCTTAACTCTTATTCATGTTTTCTCTATGGCCTAAGTGGCTTGTGGGGGGGTGCATACACACACACACACACACACACACACACACACACACACACACACTCCACACACTTATGTGTGTGCACGTGGAGGTGAAAGGACAATCTCAACTGTGGTTCTTCAGGTTCATTTTGGTTTTAGAGACAGGGTTTCTCACCAGCCTGGGACTTGCCAAGTAGGCGGGGCTGACTAGCCAGTGAGCCCCAGGGCCTGTCTCCACCTCCCCAGCACTAGGATTATAAGTGTGTGGCACCACACCAGGCTTTGTGTAGATGGGTTCTGAGAATGAAACTCAGTTCCTCAGCACTTAACTGACTGAGCTATGCCTCCACACCATTTTAGGGACTCAGTTTGAACTTATCAACTCAAACTCTTCCATTTCCCTCACCTTTTACCTGTATCATTATTATTATTTTTACTCTAAAGATAGAACTTTATGCTGCTTCCTAGTGAATTCTTAAGATTTGTGTTTTATCTTGGTCTTTTATATCTTTTCAGACCTAGCCCCTCTTATCCGAGTCATTGGCTCTCCAAGTTCGGGTTGCACACAGATTTTCTTTGTAAGACACCTTTTTAAACATCTAAGCTATATGGAAAATGTTTTATGTGGAAAGGACCAAATATCAACTTCCTCTAGTAGGCAGATAGAGATTATTCACCCTGTTAGAGTGCGAGCTGTGTTTCTTTTCACTACTTGGATTGATATTTTCTTCCACATTAGAAAATTGATGTACCAACTGAAGGATGGCTGACTTAATGAGGTAAGGACGCTAGCTTGGACAGGTACTAGTAATAACTAGATTTCCTTCTGCAGCACAATCCATCAAGCTGACGTGTACCATTTTGCATCACTTTATAAAGCCACCTTTAAAAGACTGTTGAACGTGAACACTTTTTGAGAATGCACGGACAATACATGCTAAAGGCAATGAGGGAAAAGCAAACCACAAACACTCTGGACCAGACAACGGGGTAGCCACGGGCGACAGGCTCAAGTCTCAGGGACCCTCTCTCAGGCTCACTTGGGTTCCTCTGGTCCACAGGCATCCAAAGGCGCACAGTGTCTGCGAAGGGAACTGCTCCCTCTAGCGGCCATGTTTACAAGGCGCTTGTTCAGAGTGTTTTTTTGACTCATGCAGATCTTGGAAGATCTGCTGGGTGAATAGACACTAAAGGGCTCTGCAGACACTGCAAGGAGCATTTCTTTTTCCAATGAGTGAAAGAGAAAAAAGCAAACCGCTTATGTTTGGGGATTTCTTGATTTTGGTGAGAAAAGTATAAAACAGCTTAAATTTATCTAATTTTTCATTCAGAGCTGGGGATGAGGCAATCTGGCACGCCTAGAAAACAGTATTAAAATATAAACTTCTATTCTACATGACATCCAGTGAAGGGAATGTGGAAAGGTCTGAGAAGATGTCAGATAAAGAGCCATCTGCAGGACCATGGTGCTCATCACTGGGTACCTCCAAGGTCCTGCTGCACTAGGAAGAAAGGCATGCAGGTGCTGGAATAAGAAATTAGGTTTCTATGACAAATATGTTAATTGATCCCATTTTAGAAATCTATAACCTTCCAAAGATGAGTGAATTTCCAAGAACAGCTCAGAGAATTGACCGCCCTCAGGTGAAGTGTTTTCCCTTCCTGAAGACTTGGGGCTGATCCAATTGCACCGACCCAGTTCCAGTCTCATAGGAGGATCATTGTCCCTCCTAAGACCTGTTAGGTGACACCCAGAACCACAGAGAGACAAAGCCATCAGCAACCCTGTACCCAGAGAGACAAAGCCATCATTAACCCAGCTCAGACCTGAGAATTCCTGAGTTGGAAAGATCAGAGTGCTCACTCCCCACCAGACAGAGAAGTTCTTTCGGGGATGGTGCTCCGCTCCTTGTGGTGACCCATTCCTCTGTTGGGTGGCTTTGGTTGCTGTAATGTTTTCCTTCCCTTGAACTAAAGCTAGCTTTCTTCTTGTCCACCACTGATTGTGCATACCCTCAAGGATGCAGGCAAACATCTTCTAAGGAATCCTTTGAATGACTGGATTGTCTAGTGAGAGCTGAGAGCAGTGGCATAAAGGAAAAACTCCCTGTGTTGAACAAAAGTATGTGGCCTGAGGGAGTGGGAACTGGACAGAAACTCCCATGCCAGGCTGGGTATCTACCTGCCACAAGAGCATCAGGAGAGGGGGCGCTGCTGACTTGGCACCAGGTAGAGACTTTGGAAGGACACCACAGAAGGCCAAATAGAAGGCTAGGCTAGTGGAATCCCAATAGAGCGTCTAAAAGCAGGTAGGTGATGCTATCCCACTTCTGTGAACCATCTTCAAGTTGGCCGTTCCAGGCAAAAGAGCTCCAGGGAGAAACCTTGTTGCCAAGGATATAGGCTTGCTTTAAGAGCAATGTTCCCAGGACCCAAAATAAGAGGATTTCTGTAAGTTTACAATCTGTACAGATTAAAATATTCCTCTTAACTGTTTTTCTTTTCAGATGGTTCACCTTTCAATACACGCTATGGGTCCCTTCAGGCCTTGGGCCTCTGGAATAGAGAGTTGGGCAAAGCAAGTCAGGGAAGACTGGGAGAGCCTCATAGCTCCTTCTTCCAGACAGGTTGCACTAAAATTGAACTTGATAGTCAAGTCCTATGGGAGCTGAGTCATGGGGAAGGAAGGGTTGTGAGGCCTCCAGAGAGAAACCCTTTAATCAACATGTAAGACCCACAAGGTTCTTTCTACTGCAACATGGGGATTTTGCTGGAACCAATGGGCTAGGCTTTCCACTGGGTGATACATTGTGGAGAACCTAGGAGACATGGCAGAACACGGGTGGCATGTGGGCTGCAGGAGTTTGCTCTGGCTCCTGAGAGGTCCAGGGATGTACCATGTGGGATGAGAGTAGAATTCCCAGCAGGTGCCCCAGCTCTCTCTGTGGCTTCCTTGTTTCCTGGGACAGTTCTGCTGAGGATGGAATTTAGCTAAACCTACAGCAGCCTGTCAGCAGAATCTGTAATTGAGGGACCGGGAACATGGAAACAGACCTCTTGAAAGAACTAAGCACTCCCACGAGGCAGCACTTTGGGGCAGAAGGAAGAAACCAAAAGCCTGGGCTCTGTTCATGGAATGTGAAATGTCAGCCTTCTGGTCAGAAATGAAGCCCCATTCATCCTCCAGACTGAAGGCCTCTGGACAGGCCCCAGTCTGGTCACTGGTGGAAGTGCCATGAGATGTCAACTCTACCACCAAATGGCAGGTCAGTTACCTAAGTTGAGCCTCAGTTTCCTTGCCAGTCAAGTGGGGCACTTATTTATCCCCTGCCTCCCATTCTGGGGTGCTACAGTCACTAGTGAGCTAGTATCTGTGAACACATCTGCTAAACAATAAAGCACTCTTATTGTGAGATACTTCTGTCCTAAAACAGGGAAACAGTCTATTGTCTTTAGGAATGGCAACAGGCACAGTTGGGCTGAGGAAACGGAGGGGTGCACAGGTCTCAGCAAGGCTTGGTGGCTCTGTGGAATACGGTGCTGCCCCCTCTCACTTTCAATTTTAGACTGACCAGTAGCACCAGGGAGGAGGCTATGCTTGGTCAGTGGTCCATCTACTGACCAGGAAAAGAGCAGAGCAGGAGTGAGGCTGAGAGCCACATGGAGTCCATTGCTTGCTTTTTGGTAGGTACCATTAGCAGGTGCCAGGCCCCAGAAAGGTCAACAGTACAGAGCAATGCTTTAAGGACCATCCATGGTGTTCTAACATCCTGGGTACCATGTGGTATGCTTTATGAAGGCGAGGTGGTGACTAAGTGGGCTGGCAGTGGCCCTGGGTATCGAGAAGTCCCTGGTTGAGCAGCCAGCCAGCCAGGCACACTGCAGTCCTGGAGGGCAGGCAGCTAGTGTCATCCTACTGACGGAGGGAGGGGTGTTATCTACTCCCCAGGAAGCCTGAGTGCCTGTTGGCCACACGGGTGCAAGAGGCACAGCAGGCAGTCTTGTAGTAGTTGTAGACACAGAGGCGCGCCTGGACCACCACGTTGCAGTTGTAGTACTTGTCCTTGCAGTTTTCATCTGCAGCAGGAGAGAACAGAAGAGATGCCTGAGCCCAAGAGGCAAGCCAGGGCCAGCAGGGAGAGAAAGGGTGGGGATGCCGCTTTTCATCCATGTTCTGCTTTTATTGATTGGTCTGTCTGCCTGCTTATCTATCTATCTATCTATCTATCTATCTATCTATCTATCTATCATCTATCTATCTATCATCTATCTATCTACCTACCTATTGCCATCTATTAATCTATATCTATCATCTATCAATCTATGTATAATCTATCTTTTTCTATCAATCATCTATCAATCATTTATCTATCAGTCATCTATGTATAATCTATTATCTTTTTACCTATATCTATCAATAATCTATTATCCATTCATCCATTAATCTACATCTATCATCTATCTATAATCTATCATCAATCTATATATCTATCATCTATCTACCTATTATCTACCTATCATCATCTATCTATCATCTATCTATCTATCTATCTATCTATCTATCTATCTATCTATCTATCTATCTATCTATCTATCTATCTATCTATCTATCTATCTATCTATCTATCTATCTATCATCTATCAATCATCTATCTTCTTCTCTGTGTACCTGTGTATGTGTAATGCAGAGACCAGAACATTGTTTCCGTCTACTGCTTTATTTCCTTGAGACAGGGTCTCGCAATGAAACTGAAGCTCACCATTTTGGCTAGGCTGGCTGACTAGTGAGCTTTCAAAATTCACCTGACTCCAACCCACAATCTTGGCATTACAGGCTTGTGTAGACATGCTCAGCCTTTTATGTGGGTGCTGGGATTTGAACTCAGGTCCTCATGCTTGCATAGCAATTGCTCATACCCACTGACACATCACCAATATACCAACACAGCTAGAATTCACTCCATAACCAGTTTCTTCTTTCTCCTTCCACTTTAGGGTGGAGAAAACCCCACATTTGGTGTTTTTCTTCTTGAACATTTCTTTCTCTTTATCATTATTCTTATCTTATTATTGCCTTTTTTTCTCCAAACTTTAGGTGAATGAGTGTTTTGTTTGAATGTATGTGCACTATGTGTGCGCTTGGTGCTGAGGAGGCCAGAAGAGGGCATTGGATCCCCTGGAACTGGAGTTACACAGACAGTTGTTAGCCATCATGTGGGTGTTGGGAACTGAACTCAGGTCTCTACAAGAGCAGCAAGTGCTCTTAACTTCTGAGCCATCTCTCTAGTCCCTATTATTCGTTTCATTGGAGACAAGGTCTTACTATGTAGTCCAGGCTGACCTTGGGCTCCTATTCATCCTACTTCAGCCTCCTAAGTGCTGGGGTTACAGGAATGCCTATCCCCAGATATTCTTTAATATTTTTGTGTGTGCATACGTGTGTGTGTGTGCACATGTGTGAGTGGATATACACCCGTGTGTATGTGTGTGGAGGCCAGAGGTCAACATCAGATGTTTGCTTCAACTGCTCTTCATCTTATTTTATTTACTTAAAAATATTTTATTTATTATTTTTACTTATTTATTTTCTATGTGTATGAGTGTATTGCCTGCATGTATGTTAAGTACACCCATGTCTCGCAATGCCCATAGAGGTCAGAAGAGGGTGTTGGATCCTCTGGAACTGGAGTTATAGATAGTTGTTAGCTGCCATGGTGGGTGCTGGAAATTGAACCTAGGTCCCCTGCAAAAGCAGCCAGTGCTCTTAACCACTGGGCCACCTCTGCAGCCCCTCCACCTTATTCTTAAATATCTTTTTAAAAAAAAGATGACTCTGGCAGTTTCACACACACGCCATGTTATTAGCTCATTCTCACCTACCGTTCCTTCTCTCACCCCCTTCCCACTCAGCTGCTCTCTAAGAAGTCCCCTAATATTTTCAGTTTTAAAACATTTTTATTTTGGAGGGGCTGGAGGGATGGCTCAGCATTTAAGAGCACTGGCTGCTCTTTGCAGAGGACTGGGGTTCAGTTTCCAGCACCCATATGGCAGCTAACAACCATCCATAACTCCAGCTCCAGGAAGTCCAATGCCCTCTTCTGGGCTCCACAGGTATTATACACACAGGCACAGTTACATACAAACAGGCAAAATACTCATAAACATTTAAAAAAAAAAAACAAAAACAAAAAAACGTAGCCCGGTGTGGTGGCACACATCTTCAGTCTCAGCACGATCTTTGTGAGATCAAGGCCAGCCTGGTCTACATAGTAAGTTCCAGGGCAGCTGTGGCTATAGGGAGACCTCCCCAAATTTCCCCCCCAAACAAACAAAGCTCAAAAACCAAAACAAAAAAACTAAAAACCATTAAAAGGTGGGATTGGTGGCATATGCCTTAAATTCCAGCACTTGGGAATCAGGGGAATTGGGTTCTCTGGAACTGGAGTTAAAGATGGTTGTTAGCGGCCATCTGGGTGCTGGGAACTGAACCCGGGTCCTCTGGAAGAGCAACAAGGGCTCGTCACCACTAGCTGCCTCTCTAGCCCTGAAAAATAAATTTTAAAAACTGAACAGAATAACCAAATTTAGAACAATTACAGGAGTTATAGCACTGGGGGAATAGTATGAAATAACAGTAGTACTGAGAAAAAGTTGATGGAATAATTTTTAAAAATCATAGGTGCTGCCGGGCGTGGTGGCACACACCTTTAATCCCAGCAGTTGGGAGGCAGAGGCAGGTGGATCTTTGTGAGTTTGAGGCCAGCCTGGTCAACATAGGGAATTCCAGGCCAGTCCAGGGCTACACAGGGAGATCCTGTCTCACCTCCCCACCTCAAAACGGAGTCTATAAGAAAACTTTAAATTTTTTTTTTCTTTTTTGTGAGTTTAATTGGTGCTGCTTGCATGGACACGGGTGGGAATTGTTTACTGGGGGATGGGTAACTCACAGGTTACACCACTGAAGAAAACGACTCCTCCTCCCCCAGCAACTGTTAATTGCCAATAGCTCCTTGGCTAGGGGTAGCACTTCATGAGACCCTCCTCCTCCAACTTATTTATTTTTTGAGACAGGATCTCTCACTGAACCTGGAGCTCACTGACTGGCTAGACTGGGCGGCTGGTGAGCCCCAGGGCTCCTCTTGTCTCCAACTCCCCAGTATCGAGGTTACAGGTTGTGCTACTCCATGTAGCTTTTTTGTGGGTGGGTGCTGAGGATCTAAACTCAGGCCCTCATGCTTGTGCAGCACTTTACCAGCTGAGCATCTCCCCAGGCCCCTGAACATTTCTTTATACTCGAACTATGTATGATGGTATCCCTAACCACCTAAACTTAAGAAAAAACAGAGATAACATGTAGTTTTTGGCCACTTGTTTGCTATTGAATTTATGTATTTATTTTAGTTATTGTGTAGTGTAACCTTGTAAACATATTCTGTAAATTATCCATTTTTCCACTGATAGACATTTAAGTTATTTCCAATTTCTTCCTGTTATAAACAATGACCTTTTAAGTAGTTTTGTTACATGCCCTCTTTGCTGGGTCTTAAGATACATAAACTTTACTAGATATGACCCTTCTGCACTCTGAACTATGCAGAACTATTTTTATTTCTCTTGGCAGAAGAGCAGATTCCATTTTGTGGGGGAGGGGAAAATGGGTCTCATGTAGCCCAGGCTGGCTTTGAACTGGCTATGTACTTGAGGATGACCTTGAACTCTTGGTCTTCTTCTTGTCTCTGCCTCCAGAGCACTGGACTGATTTCAGGGGTGTGCTACCACATTCAGTTTATGCAGTGCTGGGGAGCAAACACAGGGCTTTTTATATGCTAGATAAGCACTCTACCCACTGAGGCACATCCTCAGAGCAGCAGAATGATGCCCTCCCCCGAGATGTTGTACGTTTTGCTGACTTAGTGGCTGTGAAACTATCCCCCAGTGAGGTAGAACATACTCTAGCTATGTACACTGTGGCCATGTTTGCCATTCAAGGATCTTTCCCTGTGAATCATTTTTCTTCCCTTCTCATTTAGTTCAATTTTTAAACAAGGACTCATGAGGTTCTTTATAGATAACGAATCCACATGTTTGTTGGTTAGCGTGCTGCAAATGTCTGCTCTACACCTGTAGCTTTCCCTATCACTTCCTTTAGGTGTCCTTTGATAAGCAGACAATGTACAGTTTAATAGATTGACATAATATTTTGTGGTTTGGAATTTTTGGTTTTCACTTAAGAAATTCTTCCCTACTCTAAACAAACTCCCCCTAAAGGTTAAAAAAAAATTCTTCATTACTTTTATTTTCTTAACCCACCAGGAATTGGTGGTGGTGGTAGTTGTGTGTATGTGATGAAGGGTAGGAATTTGATTTTACTGTTTTTCCATGCATATGTATATATAAACTGTCTCATTACCATTTATTTGACAGCTCATCTTTTCCCCAAAGACTTTTGATGCTAACTCTATCACATATGAAGTATCTTTGATTTATTTGGGGGCTTTCTATTTTATCTCGTTGATTTGTCCCTCTCACCTGTGCCAGCATGCCTTGATTTGTGGTAGGCTAACTAAGTCCTCCAACATTGTTCATCCTCAAAATTTCCCTGGCTATTCTTGTTTTTTGGCTCTTAGTCTATATAAACATTAGATCCAATTTGAAAAGTCCTGTCCAGACTTTTATTAACATCACTTGAGGGTTGGTGAGATGGTCCAGTTGGAAAAGTGCTTACTGAACAAGCATGAGGACCTGAGTTCCATCCTCAGAATCCACATGTACACCTTTAGTTCCAGCACTCAGGAGGCAGAGGCAGGTGAATCTCTCTGTTATATCGAGGCCAGCCTGGTCTACATAGCGAGTGCCAGGCCAGCTAGAGCTACAGGGAGGCTCTATCTCAGAAAGACCCCAAAAATATTGGGGGCATGGTAGTGCATACTTGTAATACAAGTTCTGGGGAGATGAGACAGGCCAATTACTGAGACCAGTGAGACTCTGTCTTGAAAAAAAAAACAGAAGAGGAGGAGGATGAGCTCAAGGAGGAGGAAGAGGAAAAGAGAAAGAAGGGAGTGAGCGAGAGAGAGAGAGAGAGAGAGAGAGAGCACAAGGAAGAAGAGATTTGAGAAAATGTTTGAAACACATCTTAGGAAAATATATTACAATCATACTGCCCAGCCAGGAGTCTGAGGAATAAATGTTGATAGGGTTCCCATGACTGGGTCATGCATGCATACAAATGATTCATTTGCCTTGGCAACACCACAAAGTTGAAGCAATTTAAACTTGGATCATCAATTGTCACTGGTATTGCTTTTTTAAAGGCTGTATTAAAATATAACATCAAAAAGAAAAGTTGTATATATAAAGTTGCCTGCTTGTCTCAGGCACATAGACATGGATAATTAAAGGCAGTTGAAATTGCCAGATCCTTGGAATTGATGTATAGGTTTCAAAGCAAGGACTGATTTCCATAACCAATTCATGTCTTCTGAAGACCTGTCACTCAGCTGGCACCGGTTTGTCAAATGCTTCTAACAAAATATGAGAGGAGTGTTCTGTTTTTTTGAAACAGTGTTTTATGTAGCTCTGTCTGGCCTTGAACTTGCTATGTAGCTGAGGATGACCTTGATTTTTTGACCCTCCTGACTTTACCCTGGAGTGGATTACAGGCATTCACCACCACACCTGGCTTATGTGGTGTTGGGGATCAAACCCAGGGTTTTGTGCATGCTGGGCAAGTTCTCTGCCACTGAGCTCCAACCCTGGCCCATTTTTTTTTTAAACTACTCTGATCAGGCCATCTTGGTTTAGCTATGGCATCTTTTCAAGGGGGAAAATCTATTTCACTTCCAATTATATAAAATCCAATAGAGAGAAAGAGAGAGAGAAAAAGGAATTACAAGGTTAACAAAATAGAATATGTAAACAAAAAATGCAATAGTCTTTGATATGTTTCAAAATTATTCTGTCAAAGCTAAAGCTTCTAAAAATGTCCAGGTCATGAGATCAAGTTATGAAACATGGAGGCTATCCCAGTGGTCTGCTGACAGCAAGACTCTATAGATTGAGGGGAAAGAAGCTTCTGTGCACATTATTACTATAATGCTGAAAGAAATGAGTATGAGAATGTACACTAATGCATGCTTTGGAAACAGGTATACTTTATTGCAACCTTTCATTTTATCCCAGATGGTCACTATGGAATCATCCTACAATTGATAGCATTTTAGAATCAAATAACAATCCAAGTTAAATCCCATATGTGTGTGTATCTCACTCAAAATATATATTTTTTGAAAAGTTAAGTGACCCAGCTTTATAAAGGATGGGGGATACAAAGAAATTCATTCCCCCAAAGGCCTAAGAAAAGTTCATGCTACCTGCAGTCAGGGATGCAGGTGGAGGAAAGAATGGGATCAAGCTTCAACTTGCACCTTGGTGTGATGTTTATGGAAAGAATTCTGTACTAAGACACGAAGTACTCATTATTTTTGGTTCAATAATTCCACTTCTATGAATTTATAGTAAAGATATATGCTCAAAAATAGGTAAGTAAGGGCTGGAAACATAGCTCAGCAGTTATGAATACTAGCAGTTTTTCCAGAGGGCCCAAGTTCAGTTCCCAACACCCACATGGCAGCTAACAACTGTCCTTAACTCTAATCAGGGGATCCAATGCCTTCTTCTGGCTTCTGTGGGCATCACATGCATGTGGTGTCCTTATATATATGCAGGCAAAGCCCTCATATACATGAAATAAAAATAAATAAAATATTTAAAAAGATGGATAAGTATACATATATATAAAGAACAGGATGTGGGCTGGTGACTAATATCCTCTGGGGGCTGGGGAGATGGCTCAAGTGGTAAGTGCTTGCTGTGTAAGCATGAGGACCTGAGTTCAATCCCCAAAACCCATGCAAAAAAGCTAAGCAGGGTTGGCAAGATGGCTCAGCAGGTAAAAGTGCTTGCTGCCAAGCTTGATGAGCCAAGTTTGATCCCTGGGCACCACATAGTAGAAGGTGAGACCTGACCTCCATGAGTTGTCCTATCACAACTTGTGATATATGGTCTGTGTGTGTGTGTGTGTGTGTGTGTGTGTGTGTGTGTGTATGTGTGTGTATGTGCATGTAAGAGGACATTGGGTGTCCCACTCTATCACTCTTCATCTTATTCCTTTCAGACAGGGTCTCTCACTGAACCTGGAGCTAGGCAGGTAGCTAGCATGCCCCAGTGATCCTCCTGCCTCTGCCCTCCACAGTCTGGATTACAGGTGTACATGGCCACTTCTGGCTTTTGACACGGATACTAAAGAATTGAGCTCAGGCCCTCATGCATAATCATCAAGCACTCTTGCCACTAAGCCATCTTCCCAGCATATTAAAGAGCCATCTTAAACTGCCAAACTTAAAATATCAAGAGTGCCTTGGCCCCCCACCCTCCCTTGACTGCCATGTAGTGTACAAGTTCACAGAGAGACCTGGATGAGGTAGGGATCTTTATACCAGGTATCTTGACAGAATTTCAACTTTTCTTTCTTTTCCAAAGCAGGATCCCCCTCCTCACTTACCAACTTCAGGGACACAGTCCTGAGGGTTACAAGATTCTCTCTCTTCTGGTTTCAACTGAGGGTCACAGAGACTGCTCAGGGTCATGTCATCTGACAGGCACCGTACTTCCCGGACCCTGAAGCCTCCCTGGCAGCTCTTGGAGCACTGTGTGGTAACAGAAAGAAAATGTTAGATTTCTCATCAGCCCATTAGATCCCCACACCGGAGAGGGAAGATCCTGGGGAATTTCAAACATCTTCAAAAAAGGAAATTGAGCATTGAAACAAACTTCCACACAATTACCAACCAGCTTTAACACTTGGCAACTCAGGATCACTGTGTCCCACCCTTCCCCTCGCATATGCTTCATGCTGTTTTGAGATAATTCTAGACATCCCTTCCTTCCTTCCATAATATCTCAGCTTGAAAATGGACCCTTAAAAATTACCACCATACTACTGTTATACCTAAAAACAGTACCTCCACAGGCATCACACACTCAGATGCACTTATATCCAAGCAGGCAAAACACCCATGCACATAAAATAAAAGCAATAAAAATGTCAAGATCCTGTGGTAGATGGATATGATCAAAATATATTGTATAAGTGTATAAAATTTCAAAAGATAAGTGAAATATTAAAAAATAAAATTAATCAGGTTCCATGTCACAGTTACACATTGCAAGTGGTTGATATGGTTGATATTTTTGTGACTGTTAATCTGAACCCACAAGTTTCCCTTCTATCATCTTATTTATTTTTCATTTGTGTTAATCTAAATCCACATCAAGCTCATATATCATCTTATATATTTTTCTTTACATTCTCTCTCCTCTCTCTCCTCTCTCTCTCTCTCTCTCTCTCTCTCTCTCTCTCTCTCTCTCTCTCTCTCTGTATGCAATGGAGACATGTGCCATAGAATGTATGTGGAGGTCAGAAGAAAACTTGGGAGAGTTGGTTCCTCTTTCTCCAATGTGGATCCCAGGGATTGAATTCTGGTATTCAGCCTTGGCGACAGATGCCTTTACCTGCTGAGCCATCTCAGTGACTATTATTATTATTATTATTATCTTTGGAGACAGGCTTTCACGTAGCTCAGGCTACCCTCAAATTCCCAATGTAAACAAGAATGACCTTGAACTTACTTTTATTTATTATTATTTCTAAATTTTATTGTTGTTTGACAATTTCATTTGTGCATGTAAATGTATTTTAGTTATTTTCATTCCCTATTACTGTCTTTCATTCCCTCCCACTTCCACTGAATCCCTTCTTCCCAAGTCCCCCTCATATTTCATGTCTGTTTTGTTTGTCCTGTTGGAGATGGGGGTCTCACTACGTAGCACTGGCTGGCCTGGAACTTCCTATGTAGAACGGGCTGTCCTTGAACTCCTGGAGATCTGGGATTAAAGGCCTGTGCACTGCTCTCAGTGCTATTTTCATGTCTTTTGTTTGCTTGTTTCCTCATGGCCCACTGAGTCTAATTATTAAGGGTTGCCTGCATGCGCTTTGGTGGGGGGTGATTTACTGGAGTGTGGACAGCTTATCAGTGGTGACACCACTAAAGAGATCATCCCTCCCCCATAAACCATTAACTGAGGATAGCTCCTCAGGGAGGGGTGGGGCCTCATGAATCCCTTCCTGGTCCATGGGGGGAGGTTGCTGGGCCCCATCTTATGCAGGTAGTCTTGAATTTCTGATCTTGCTTCCAGCTCCTATGTGCTGGTATTACAGGTGTGTACCACCATGCCTAGTTTATGTGTGTTGGGGATGGAACACAGAGCTTTGTGCACACTGAGCTGGCACATTACTAGCTGAGCTACATCTTAGTTCTTAATTTGCTTTTGATGAAGGAACCGAGTCAGCTGTTCTATGGAGCTTTTCATGTCTTGAGTTTACTGACTAGATTCCCATGGTACAGTTTAACATGTTCCTCTGTTCTCTCTTTCCTGTCAATTGTCAGTTGGGTCTGTAGGAAGCCTCAACAAGACCTGAGTCACAGGGACCTGTGGTCACCTTGTTTCGGTGGACATCGGCAGCCACTGACATGCAATGTCCTAAAACATTTGTCATAGCGGCTTCAGCTATCAACGTGACAGACCCCAGAGTCACTTAGGAAGAGGAAACCTCAGCGGAGGAATTTTCTAGGTCAGATTGGCCTGTGGCCATGTCTGTGGGGCATTTTCTTAACTGCTAATTGATGTGGGAGGGTCCAGCCCACTGTGGATAGTCCCATCCCTAGGCAGCTGAACCTGGGCTGTATAAGAAAAGTAGCTGAAGGGCTGGAGAGATGGCTCAGCAGTTAAGAGCACTGACTGCTCTTGCAGAGGACCCAGGTTCGATTCCCAGCACCCACATGGCGGCTATGAACTGTCCTAAACTCCAGTTCCAGGGGAATATGAAGCCCTCTTCTGACCTCCACGGCACTGCACGACATGGGTGCACTCACATACATGCAGGCAATACACTCATACACGTAAAAATAAATAAATAAAATATAAAAAAAGAAAGGTAGCTGAACAAGCCAGAGGGAGCAAGCCAGTAAGCAATGGTCCTCCATGGTCTCTGCTTCAGATCCTGCCTCCAGGTTGCTGCCTGGCTTCCCTCAGTGATGGACTGTACCCTGTGAGTTGAGATAAAAATTTTTCTTCCTCCAAGATGTTTTTGGTCAGTGTTTTATCACAGCAGCAGAAAAATAAACTAGAATAACTTTAGTTCATCTAGGGTTGAAAAGCAATGATATGCTAATCCTATCATTGCTCCTGTTTCAAGAATCCTACTCCTTACTTACTCTAGAGTTACCCAGCTTTAAAAAAGAGTCTGACTCCACCCCTTTGCCACCTTTCAGAACGAGAGTTCTAAAATGCTAATAGATAGCCCATTAGTTTTTAAAAAATTTATTTATTTATTTATTTATTCATTCACTCATTCATTCATTCATTCATTCATTCATTCATTCATTCTATGTATATGAGTGTATTGCCTGCATGTGTATGAGTGCACCCATGTTGTGCAATGCCCACAGAGGTCAGAAGAGGGCGTTGGATCCCCTGGAACTAGAGTTATGGACAGTTGTTAGCTGCCATGTGGGTGCTGGGAATTGAACCCAGGTTCTCTGCAAGAGCAATCAGTGCTCTTAAGAGCTGAGCCATCTCTCTAGCCCCCTAGCCCATTAGTTTTAAATTATCACTAACATCATAACTACATGACTTAAACGTATACACTATGTTTCATTCAATCTCTTATAGTTTTTCTTCCTGACTCTCCAACTGTCCCATCCACCACCAGCAGGGACCCCTAAAAGCTGCCTCCCCAGTCTTCTGGATGTGGGCTCAGCTGCCTTTGAGAACTTTCTTGTTGCTGGTATGATCAGATTTTTCAGTGTAGCTGCTGTTGCCCCAGATTTGGAACCAGCATCCCAAGAATCTCTGGCTCCTCTAGGTGGCAGTCAAAGTCACATTCTGGGAGAGAAAGTCCTTTTGCTATGGGGTTCACATGACTTTTAGGCACTTTCAGTAGGTGGAACTGGGAAATAATAAAAGATAATTTTTTTTTCAAACAGGGCCTCTCTGTAGCCCCATCTGACCTGACAGAGATCCCTTTGCCCCTGCCTTCTGAGTACTGGCATTAAAGTCATGCACCACCACACCTAGCTAAAAGATAATTTATGTTTACTGCCTAACACAGTACTTTCGTGTGTGCATATGTATGTGCTCATGCATCTGTAGGCCAGAGGTTGATGTAAAGTATCTTTCTCAATTGTTCTCCACCTTAGTTTTTGAGACAGGGTCTCTCACTGAACCTGAAGCTCACCAGTTCAGCTGGGGGATGGCCAGCGTGCTCCAGGACCCTCCTTTCTCCACCTCTTCAGTGCCGGGATTGCACTGCTCTACCTGGCTTATAATGTAGTGCTTTAAGCACTATCGTTGAGTCCCTTCAATTACCATTCTCTGTAGCAACGTTTCTCAAAATGCAGCCCAAGGACTCCTGCATCTTGCTTGTTAAACATGCAAATTTCTTGGCCAGGATGGGCTCAGGGTTGGTCTTTTCAGGCAAGATCCCTAGGTGCACCCTGAAGCCCGAGACTCACAGCATTATGACCCCTTGCTGTTTGGAAGCCCAGATCCTGCAGGTTTCCAGTTTCCCTGATCTCTCCCATTGTGAAGACCTAGAGCAGACACCACAGGGAATCTAGAATCTCCCCAGCTCCTACCTTGGAGCATCCAGGGATGACTGTGACTTACCATGCTCCATTCTGTGCTAAACCATTTGGCTCCACAAGGCTTGAGGTTGCAGGTCTGCTGGCTGGGGGGTTTCTCCAGGAAGGAACACTCATAAGGGTCCAGAACTTCAAAGGTGTCTGTGTTCTTCCTAACACAGATCACTTCCCTCTGTTGTGTCCCACTGCCACACTCAATGGAACACTGGAGGAAGAAGCAGAGACAGATGGGTGTTGCAAGATGGAGCCATTTCCAGGGAGGGACATCTTCACTGATGCAATGAGGAGGAACCTAGGGGACCAGAAATGTTTCTGCGGAAGAAGCTGCAGCCAGAGCCCAACATTCCTCACAGTTCTGTCTCCAGAGTGGAGAGCTGTCACAGCTGGAGAATGCTGCTCTCGAGTCATGCTGTCTTCTGTACTGGGGGTGAAATTCCTTCCCTTAAACTCCATACAGGAACATGCCAAGCACTTCACTTGGTTGTTCCTGTCCAGTAGATGTTAAAACGCCTGAGCTGGCATTCTGGTTTTATCTACTGGTCTCTTAGAGGGTAGGGTACAAATGAGTTAGGGTCCCAGAGCCTGCACACCTATGCACAAGTGGCTAGCTTAATATTCCATCAACCCACAAACTAAGGACTGGGAATGTAGCTTGGCTGGTAGAATGCTTGCCTAGCATACATGAAGCCCTGGATTTGAAACCCAACACTGCATGAACTGGGTGTGGTGATGCACACCAGGAATCCCAGCAATTGAGAGGCGAAGGTTGGAGAATCAGGAGTTCAAGGTCATCTTTTGGCTACATAGCAGATTCAAGGCCAGCGTGGGCTACACAAGACCCTGTAAGCACACACAGACACACACTTAGAAGAAGATCCCAGACTTTGGATAATTGGCCTTCCCTTCCTAACAGGCAGGCAGGCTGGCAAGAACCTCAGGCATGCACATCCATTCCCCGTGTTTTCTAGCCTGGAAACAGAGCTTGCATTGCCCATGCAGATGATGTCACAGGTTCACACATTTTTATGAGTTTATGAGAATAGGATACATACAGTTGCTTATAAATTATCCTATTTAATATATATTACTTTGTAAGATGATTTATGTCCATGGTTTTCTTTTTTAGACAGGCTCTCTTACTGAAACTGGAACTCAGGGCTTGGCTAGACAGGCTGGCCAGTAAGCCCAGAGATCATCCTGTCTCTGCTTCCCCAGCACGGTGACTGCAGACATGTACCATGGTATCCAGCTTTTAGGTGGGCGCCAGGGATCCAAACCCAAGTCCTGATGTTCGGGTGATAAGCACTTTACTGACCTAACTATCTCCTTAGCCTTATACTCAGTCATCTTATGCTTCTCTTGGAAGGTCCTTGGAGTAATATAATTAAAAAGACTATGCACATCTTATGTTCTAGCACCCAAAATGTTCATAAATGATAGACTATCTGGGAACAAGTAGGGTGCGGTGTGTGTGTGTGTGTGTGTGTGTGTGTGTGTGTGTGTGTGTGTGTGCTGGAATTTGACAAGAACAAAGATCAAATTGAAGGAGTCAAGGAGATCACAATGAAGAATACCATACAGAGGGGGACCCCCAGCAGCAAGGGTGGGGACAGCTCAAGGGCTCAGGACAGGTCAGTACAATACACGAGGATCAGGAGGGCCCTTGGAGCAATGCGTGGTCAACTGAGTTGCTGACCAGCAACAGCCAGCCTGGCTTGGTTGAATCATGGCATTTGCCCCTGCCAGGAGATGTATGCCAAAGGCAAGTGAAACCATTTTAGGTACTCAGGACTCACAATGCTCACTGCTTACAAAACCTGTTTGAGACACGTACTGGCTCTGATCTATGACAATGTGAAAAAAAGCAAGGAAGGAGACAGAGGGTATAAAAAAAGAAGCTGCAGGGGCTGGAGAGACGGCTCAGCGATTAAGAACACTAGCTGTTCTTGCAGAAGACCAAGGTTCGAATCCCAGCACCCACATGGCAACTAACAATGTCCACAACTCCAGTACCAGGGAATCCGATGGCTTCTTCTGGCCTCCTCAGGCATTGCACGACACGGGTGCACTTACCTACATGCAGGCAATACATTCATACACATAAAATAAAAATAATAAATAAAATATTTAAAAAATAGAAGCTGCAAAGATACTGGTAAAATCTATTGTTAATAATGACTATAGGGGCTAGAGAGGTGACTCAGTCAGTAAAGTGCTTGCTCGGTACGCCTGAGGATCTGAGTTCAGATCCCCAGCACTTATGTTAAAAGCCAGGTGTGGCTTTTTATGTGATCCCAGGGCTGGGAGGAGACAGGAGGCTCTTTGAAGCTCACTGGCCAGTCTAGCCCAACCGGTGAGCTCCAGGTTCAGTGAGAGACCCTGTCTCAAAAAACAAGATGGAGAGTGATGGAGGAACTCTTGAAGTTGTTGACCTTTGGCTTTCACACGCACTGCCTGTGTGAGGGATGGGAGACTGCACACATGTGCCCATCTGCCTTGGTGCAACTGACATACCTGACCCCACTGGAGCCATGTCTGTGACATGGGTCAGCACCAAGGGTCAGAGAAGGAAGCCCCTGAAACTGACCAGATTCACTAAGCCCCTGCTTCTTTAGGGGTATATAAAAAGTAAGGTCTGCTGAGAGACCTCAGACAAGCTGACCTGCCTGGAATCAGAGACCAGCTGAGCTGCTTGGAAGAGACACTCTCCAACCTGTCAAGTGACCTGTAGGTTGTAAAGTGAGCTCTAGGTTTCAGCTTTTGTGAGCTGTCACCCTTGGTGGGCTTTGGTGATGCAACTGTCTTTGAGTCATTTCTGCTCCTGTAAGTAACCCTTTCACCCATATTTCTGTAAGTAACTCCAATAAAACTCATTGGTTCACCAAGCTTGACTTTGGTGGTGTCCTCTCTTTGGTCTATCATTAGTGCCCTATCTGGGGTGGGCAGATGTCTGCTCATATCTCCTGAGGAATATCTCCACACAACACCAAGTCAGGAATCCCATGAGACTGGAGCTGGGCTCAATTTCCAATGTGCCTAATGTGGATGCTCAACAGGGTGGCAATGGAGGAACTTGGACTCTTTCTTTCTGACTCCTCTGAACTTTACAGATCCTATTAATCAGAGTATTAGAGAAAATAAAAGAACCCTTTCCCTATGCTGTCTACATAACACTATATTATTGAGATGACTGAGATCATAAATTTTACTTATACACACACACACACACACACACGTGTGTGAGAGACAGGGTCTCATATAGCTCAGGTTGGCCTTGAATTCCTCGTGTAACCAAGGATAACTTTGAATTTCTTATGCTCCTGCATCCAAGTCCTGGAATTACAGGCATACACCACTATACCTGGTTTTATGTGGTGCTGAGGACTGAACCCAGCCAGGGATTCATGCATATTAGGCAAACATTCTACCAACTGAGTCCACTGCGCAGCCCAAGTTTTCATGTTCTATTTCTTCATTGCTATTGGATCATGTGCACTTTGGATACCCTAATGGTCATTGTTATTGATTAAATTTGATTTAATGCAAAGTTTTTTTTTAAAGCTACCTTAAAAAAATAAACATTTCTATGGAGCCAGAGTCCTGCTAATGTGTAAATTATGGTTGTTAGCTAAAAAGCCCTTGGAGAATCAAGCAGCCCTTGGAGTCCAGTGTTGTAAGTGGGTCAAGAATGCAACGTGGAGGGGAACCGTGACAGGATGGCTTTCTATAGTTGCCCTGGGGGTTCATGTTCAATGTTGGAACAGAGAAGAATTAAGTCATCAATTATTGTTATTCTATTATCTGTGCTTTATAATATTTACCTCTAGCTTAAAAAATATTTGTATGTATATATATGTGTGTATGTGTATGAGTACAGGCATACATGTGCCATGGTGTGCATGTGGAGGTCAGCGTATCATCAAATATGTTGGTCTTTGCCCTCTAGCTTGCTTGAGGCAGGGTCTTTGGCTTGCCTCTGTGTAACCCAGGCTAGCTGGCCTATGAACTTCTGGGGAATCTCCTATCTCCCACTCCCATCTTGCCAAGGAAGTTCTGGGTTTAGAGACACAAGCTGCCATATCCGGCTTTTTCAAGGGGACTGGGGATCCAAACTCTGGTTTCTATGCTTGTACAGCAAGCACTTTCCTTACTGAACCACATCCCCAACCTCACCTCCAGTTTTTCAAATGGCAGCTTCTGACACTGTCAGGAACAGACAAACTGGCTTTATTAACAGGAGTGTTACAGTAGCAGTAGCTGCAGTGGCCTGCTATGTGTACTGTGTCAGGCACTTGGCTACATTATATTCATTATTTTATCTCTGTTAAAAACAACCTGGTAAGGGGCCAGCATTTTATAAACAAGGAAACCAAGCCAGACCATAAGCTCCTGAGGGCAGGGTTGTTTATTTTGTTCACTGATGTAGCTCGAGTGCTTACATGAGCACATAGTAGGTATGCACCGAGTACTGTTGGCTGAAAGAGGCACCGAGAACACAGCTGCTTACTCAGTGGGACAACTGGATTCAAAGTTAGTTGCTAATCCCTCTGCCATGTTGCCTCTTGCCAGTGTTAGATGGAAGTACCTGGTTCTGGCCACTTACCTGACTCCAGCTCCCAGCAAACCACTCCAATTTGCCCGCGCAGGGTCCATTGTCACATGGGGTGGCCTCTGCTGGCCTGTTGTTCCCGCAGCCCTCCAGAGGCAGGCTGCTGACATGGTTGGTCATGCATACCACTGAACGTGTCCGCACTCCAGCCCCACATTCCGCTGAGCACTGCGAGGCATAAGGAGGACACAATAGTGGGGTTCTTGCAGGTTCTGAGGCCACTGCCAAATGGTGTCAAGGATGACATGCTTTATTTTCCCTCAGACCCCTCTAGAAATAGCTGATAACTTCTCACGAATGACACTTCACGAAGGAGTCTCCTCCATATCTGTTAATTTTGCCTTATGTGGTTTTAGTTACTCATGGCCAAATGTAGCTTGTATATGCCACATGAAAAATATTAGAAACAAACAATTCATCAGTTTTCAGTGGTCCCAACCAGCCATTCTGCTAGACTTTTGTCCCAGTATTCTTACCCCACACCTCATTCTGGACAGAGACATTACTGTGGTCACAATTCCGATTGCATGAGAAGTTCTGAGAGCCCTTGCATGCGTGGTTCCCTCCTTCCGGACGCTTTTGCCTTCACCAGGACACACCAGAGAACTGGAAAGCTCTGCTCAAATCCCTTTTCTTCTGTGAAACATCCTTGGTTGCCTGATTCAATATACTCTTTCCAGCCTCAAAATTCTCATGGTATTCTCTACCCCATTCCTTCATTAAAAACTGTTTATGTAGACTCTTACAATTTATATATATATGATACAGAATTTTACAATATATGGTTATCTATATCTGTATCTCCATATATGATACAGTGAAGCAAACACACCCATCACCTCACTAGTTGCCCACTTTGCAGGGGCGAGAACAACAAACACTCATTAGCTTAAACCTTATAAACAGTACTAATTTACTACTTACGAGTTCCCATGTTATATATTAGACCTCTAGGTGATACGTTCTACACGCCCTCTTCTTTGTATCCTCTGATCCACACCTCATCAGTCCTCTCTCCAGGCACCTTCAGTAACCACTGTTTTGTTTTCTATTTCTTTGTATTTAGACCTTTTCTTTTTAAGCTTCTATGTGTAAGTGAGATTACACATCTTCTGTTTTGTGTCTGGAATATTTCATCTCATCCATGTTGTGGTAGATGAGGTGTTTTTGTTGGGGATTAATAATATTTCATTGTACATACGTATCACAGATTCCTGGCCCACACACCCGCCAAGGAACACTGAGATAGTTTGCACATTTTGGCTTTGATGAGCAATGCTGCATCATTGCCATTAAAAATATAAATTCATGAACAGAATTTCAAATAAACTCTGAGAAAAGGAAAATAAATTATTGTGACACTATTTCCTTATCAACATTTCCATTTCCACATTGAGGTTGTTGGTAGGGTGCTTACTGTTCCTCAAAGTTCAAACCCTTCTTTTATCTGGTTACTTTTCTACTTAATTTTTCTTCTTGTTAAAGGAGAATATAAGCGCCTGAGACCAGCTATTTCTTTGTAGACTTCATTTCTTTCCTATGAGGTCTCTTGTGCCACATAAAAATGTTAATATCAAAATAAAATATGTGTTTCTTTTTTCCATTAACCTTTTTTAGTTCAATTCGCAGACTATAGTCAGGAATATAACAGAGTAGAGCGAGTTTTCCCTCCTCTACAGGGCCATCTACACTTTAACATGACTTTGCTCTGTGTGTATCATTATGAAAAACAATAATCTGAAACAATGAATCAGTTCATTGGGTTAAAAACAATCATTTGTTGTAATCATTGGAATAATCCAGGCCAGAGACACATTTTGTTCCAGCCATGTGTGATCTGAACTTTGTAACTTTACAACTCAAAGATATTTAAAATCTCTTATAAAGAATAAAAACTAAAGCCGGGTGTGGTGGCGCACGCCTGTAGTCCCAGCACTTGGGAGGCAGAGGCAGGTGGATCTCTGTGAGTTCAAGGCCAGCCTGGTCTACGTAGTGAGTTCCAGGACAGCTGGGGCAAAAAGACAAAAAAAAGAAAAAAAGAAAAAAAATAAAGCCAGGGGGCCAGAGAGATGGCTTGGTGGCTAGGAGCAGGTGATGCTGTTCCAGAGGATCCATATTGGACAGCTTACAACCACTGGTTAACTCCAGCTCTATGAGATCCAATATCCCTGCTTATGGTCTCTGTGGGCACCTGCACACATGTGACATTCATATACACGCACACACACATGCACACACACAGACACATAATAATAATAAATTTTAAGAAAAGTAAATCAAATGTTATCTCTGTTTCAATCTCTAAAAATATTTCTTCCTACATAATTTCCATCTGACTAATGAACTCCATTTTCTTCTTTCCAATCTTAGAATGTGTATGTATCTGGGACGTGTTTCCAAATCCCTGGTGTGCTTAATTAGTCAAAGGTCAAGCCATCACCCACTGGGAGGACAGCAGATAGTGGGACCTGAAGGAAAGCTTCACTTTATTTTGCCAGTGGCAGGAAAATACACAACATATTTAGATCTGAAAAGAGCTTCTTATGCCTAGGAAGCCTGCCAGCAGAAATGGGGGGAGGTGGAGTCTCTCCCTCCTGCAACAGGGACCAAGCTTCACAGATCCACTCCATGTTCCCTGAAATAAGCCTTATCTACTGTGGCAGTCAGAAAACAAACAGACTCCTAACCAAAGCTTGGGGCAAAATCCTGGTGAGGATTGTCTTCTCTCACAGTAATAGCTCAGTGTAAGAGCTCTCATAACTATTCGACATTGGGTGCCTTCCTTAATCTCTCTCCACCTTACTTTTTGAGTCAGGGTCTCTCACTGAACCTAGAGCTCACAGATTCATCAGGCTGGCTGACTGGTGAACTCTGGGGATCTGCCTGTTTCTACTTCTCCAGCATGAGGATTACAGATGTGTACCATTGTGCCTGGCTTTTATGTGGGTGCCGGGGCTCGGAACTCAAGCCCTCATGGTTGAGCAGCTAACACTGGGCCATCTCCCCAGGCCCTACCTTTTATACTTTATATGGTAAAATACACACAAAATCTGGGGCTGGAGAGATGGCTCAGCGGTTAAGAGCACTGGCTGTTCTTGCAGAGGACTTGGGTTCGATTCCCAGAACCCACATGGTAGCTAACAACCATCTGTAACTCCAGTTCCAGGGGATCTGACGCCCTCTTCTGACCTCCATGGGCACTGCATGACAGGGGTGCACTTACACACATGCAGGCAATACACTTACACACATAAAATAAAGATAATAAGCACAATACTAAAAAAATACACACAAGATCTGCCATTCTAGCCACTCCTAGGTCAATCTTAGTGGCATTTGTGAGCTCACACTGCTGTGCAGTCTCACTACTATCTGTCTCCAGAATCCTCTTCTCACAGAGATTCTATTTTTGCCTCTGACAGATGAAGTCAATCTACTGCTGGCTTCTCTCCAGTAGAAGTAACTGGTGGGCTGATAATTAGTTGGCTTTGAGTTTTCTTTAACCCTAGGCTGTGGGAGCCTGTGAGAGGCAGGCTAGTGGGAAGGGGAATAGTGTGATGTGTCTTTAACTGTAAAAATCAGGGGAGCTGCCTATGATTTGATGCCTATTTCAGGGACAAACCTTTGAGAGGCCAGGGACTTATTCACTCTATTTAGGATGCCATCTCTTAATCATGTGGAATGCTGAGGAGAGGTTAGCTAGCTTTTCACACTCATTCCTCAATCAGAGTCCCTTGGTCCTCAGAGGAGTCTCTAAATCTATATTTGTCCACCTCTAGTCTTTTGGCCAAAGCTAGTGTTGTGGAACCTGGTCCTCTGAGCAAAACAGCTGCCATCTTCATCAGATCAGATGTGCCTGCTTGCAAGAGTCCATCATGATTGTGCCTGTGAACTGCTGACGCTCCCTCATAGTGGTGGTATCACTGGACCCTCATCTAAGGTCCCAGTCACTCCTTCCATCCATTGCTATACAATTCTACCCTATTGCACGTAGCCTGGGGATCTCTGGAAGTGCTAAGAAAATATAGGCTGGGGAGGTTAACTAAAGAGGCTCCATCTATGCAGTTATGGGGAAGCTACCATCCATGACAGGGGTGCACTTTTCAGAGCTGCTGCTTTGGGGCCCATACACTCTTATAGACAACCCCTCACGCATGCTCCATAAGCAGGCCCAATAAACTCATTGGTTCCCCAGAATGAACTTTGGTTTGTCTTTGGGACCTTATGAGGAAGAGGTAGATGTTGTTTACATCTCCCCAGGGAAGCAGTTAGAACTCAGCTTTGGGATTCTGAGCTAGCAATGTGTTCCTGTGGCTCTGAGGAAGCCTGTGGCATACAGCTCCCATCCACTAGCCCAGTTGACCCTGGTCCTGACCTCTCCCAGCAGCACACTCACCCTTTCGCTCCACTCCGTGAGGAACCAGCTCTTTGCACAGGGTCCCATGTCACAGTTCTCGATGTCATTTGGTCGGAGTTTCATGTTGCACTCCGCGTCATCTACCACATCCCCGATGTTGCTCACGCACTTCACTTCTCGGTTCCTCTGTCCCACACCACACGGCACGGAGCACTACAACACAGCAAGCATTTGTCAGTGGAATATGTCACGTGACTCTGGACAGATGACTGTGGGGAGGACCCTGGGGTGCTGAATTCCTTGCTGTGCCTATAAATCCCTTGAGGAAGATATGATTGCTAGAAAGCTTCCCAGTCTCTTTCTTTAAGGTTTTAGATGGAATCTTGTCTAGCATCCTGCTCTGGGATTCAGCTTTTCCATCTCTACGATGGGTAAGTAACACTGGAATGAGATCTGGGATTCAGCTTTTCCATCTCAACGATGGGTAAGTAACACTGGAATGAGCTGGCTCTGCTAGTCTGGGTGCCAACCTTTTCTTCATACATGGGTTGCATAGTACAGGTGATATCCACAGGCACAGGACTCCTACGGGTTCACCCTCAAGGCTGACAATGGGTGATGCCCACTAGTCTGAACTCTATGGAGTTGTTGGTATGAGCTGTGCTTGCAAATAGCTGCCCAGCAAACACTCCTCATCCCACTTGGGGGTTAGGCACACAGGTCCTAGTTGAGGGAGGTTGGAGAGTAACATTGGGTTTTGTGGGGTGGGGGCTGTACCGAAGTCCAGTCAGTCCGAATCTGCCACTCGCTGCAGATCTTGAGCTGGCAGGTGCTGGTGGTCTCCGGCTTCTCCAGGTGCTGGCAGCGGTAGGGTTGCACCGTCAGGCTGCGATTGGCATACACCTGGCGGCACAGGACCTGGCGGTGCTGCATGCCCAGGCCACAGGTTTTGCTGCACTCAGACCACTCCCCGATATCCCAACTGGCTCAGGGAATGAGTATAAGGGGTGGGAGTGCCACAGGTTTTGCTGCACTCAGACCACTCCCCGATATCCCAACTGGCTCATGGAATGAGTATAAGGGGTGGGAAGCATAGAGAGAAAGAGAGAGAGAGAGAGAGAGAGAGAGAGAGAGAGAGAGAGAGAGAGAGTTACAAATTAGTAGGAACACATAAATCATTAAAATCAGTAGAGAGCCCTCTTCCCAGAACAGTGCCTAAAGGTCACAGGACTGTGAAGGAGGTAGCTTGTTGGATATGCTATTTACCTATGGCTAGATTTGCCTAGATTCTGTACACAGTTACAGAAAAAGTGAGAAGGTATCAATGATTTCCATCTAGTAATCAAAGCTGACACGCCCCTTCTTCCAGCCCCAGAGATCAGCTTTATTTCCCTATAGAATACGGATCTGTTTGGGAATTAAAAGATCGTATTCCAGTCTTCTTTGCTATTATTTCCATATCTTTATCTTGCTAATTACTCAAATGAGACATCAGTACATGTTCAGCTTATATTTGGATAGGAATTATAGTTTTCTTTTTTTTTTTTTCTGTCTTTTTGAGACAGGTCTCCCTGTAGCCCCAGCTGTCTTAGAACTCACTATGTAGACCAGGCTGGCCTTGAACTCACAGAGATCCACCTGCTTCTGCCTCCCAAGTGCTGGGATTAAAGGTGTGTGCCACCACACCTGGCCTAGGAATTATAGTTTTATCACTCTGAGAATTAAGTTTTGACCTCCAGCCTCTACCCACTCAGAGCATCTTATTTGTCACTCCATATCCTGTCGCAAACCTCTCCTGGATGCTGACTCCTCTAGACTGACTTCAGCATCCTCTGTCAATATACTCAGCTCCCCTACCCTCTGCCCCACTGACTCTCATCCCTTATTTTCCTGGATGCTTCTTGGCTAAGCTTGGAGACTTGCTATAGGTTATTAACCCTGAGTTCTTCCTGAAAGGCAGGCAGACTTGCTAAGCTGTCTCTATTCAATGCCCAGTTCAAATCAGTTGTTTTCACATCAAAGTTAGATAATGTTAAGAACCCATTTGTTTCTGCTACTACGAGTTTATGCACTTCAACCAGAAGTAACCTGGCGATAGATGGCCTAGCCAGAGAGGCCTCTTACAAGGCTGGGCAGGGGAAGAGGTTGCAGGGCTCCTCCTCGGGGGTTGGCTTCATACTGGAGTCACAGTAGCTCTCGGGAACTTCCTCGTGGGTGCTTCTGTGCACACAGCGGAAAACAGGGTGCTGCGATCCTGCAAAGACAAGGAACAGGCCTGAAGGCCAGCCCACACTCTAGAAAGCTGGGCAGTGATAAAGATGTGCAGGCATTTGGGTGCTGATGAAGGGAGGATGGAGGACCAGTGAAGAAGACAATTCCCACAGTTCGATCAACTTGTTTGTTGATACACATAGGCCCAAATGGTTCTGCTGGAGGCTGTGGGTGTGCAAAGGAGACACACATGGTTCCTGTCCTCAAAGAGCTTATGATCCATTTGTGGACATATTCAAAGGGAAATACAATAAGTTCAAGACAGTAAGAGATGGGGCTGGGAAGATAACTCAGTCAATTAGGTCCTTGATACAAGGACCTAGATTTGATGCTCAGTACCCATGTAAAAAAGTCAGGCATGGTGGTGTACACTTATAATCCCAGTCCTGGGGAGGTGGAGATAGGTGGATTCCTGGAGCTTTCTGGTCAGCCAGCCTAGCCTGATTGGTGAGCCTCAGGTCCTAATGAGAGATTCTGTCTCAGAAACAGGGTGGGCAATGTTCCTGAGGCATGACACACAAAGATTTCCTCTGACTTCCACACACACATGCATGTGTGTGCATACACTTGCATACAAACACATGTACATACATAGTGATAATAACTTACTAGGCAAGGGGGTTGTTATAGAGTGGACACAAACAGTAACTTCTCAGGCTAGGCATGGTAGTGCATGCCTTTAGTCCCAACACTTGGGAGGGAGAGGCAGGCACCTCTCTGTGAGATTGAGGCCAGCCTGGTCTACATAGTGAGTTCCAGGCGAGCTGGGGCTGCAGGAGACCCTGTCTAAAGAAGACAGAGAGAGTTTTTGAGAGAGAGAGAGAGAGAGAGAGAGAGAGAGAGAGAGAGAGAAAACCCAAACAAAAAGCAAAAACCCTCAAACAAAACAAAAAACCTCAGTAACTTCTCCAAGGTTCTCTGGAGGTCAGGGAATAATTGCCCTGGACAGGTCTAACTGTGATCAGAGAAAGGGTCAGGTTTAAGTGGGTCTGTGTACATACATGTGTCAGGGGAGGAGGTGTCCACTGGGCTAATGTGGAGAGAACTGCCTCCTTGCCAGGTGCATGTACAAGAGGCTGAAGCAGAGAGGAATCTAGAATAGCCAGAAGAGCAGCTCCTTCTACCTTTGTGATGCATTTTACACATTCCTTCAATAAAACCTGACCTGGTGGTGTTCAGACTTCTCAGCAACAGGACTCATCTGATTCATCTTTGTAACTCCAGCACCTAAGAGGGTAACTGGTGCTCAATATAAATTTGTTGAAGGAAAAGTCATCAGAGGTCTAGTGCCCAATTTTAGTACTTTGATAGAAAAATAACTGCTTCATGTTTTTGTTTCGAATATACAGAAGTTTCATTGATTAATAAGGACAAAAAAATTTTAAAAAACATTTTATTTATTATTTTTATTTTATGTGTATGCATGTATTGCCTGCATGTAGGTAAGTTCACCTGTGTCGTGCAATGCCCACAGAGGACCATCGGATCCCCTGGAACTGGAGTAATTGACAGTTGTTAGCTGCCATGTGGGTGTTGGGATTCCAACCCGGGTCTTCTGCAAGAACAGTCAGTATTCTTAACTGCTGAGTCATCTCTCCAGCCCCCAGGACCAAACAATTTTATATAAAAGGCCAGTTGTGTGTAATTTCTGTCTCAATTCAATTTTGCTTTTTTCTCTTCTGCCACCTGCTGGCAGAACTGAGTACTACTGGCAGACATTTATGACGTGGGAGACACATCTTCATAAGTAACTGTCTGCTGGAAGTCTAGGCCAACACACAATTCTTGCCTGGAAGAGCTGGTCATTTATTTCAGAACTAAGGTTATCTCTGATTCTAACTAGTCAAACATTTATTTTTTTTGAAACTCCAACTCACTACAATTTTATTTATATTGTGAAGGAAAACCTTTTTAAATTTATTTAAAAAAATCTTTTATGGGGGCTGGAGCAATAGCTCAGCAGTTAAGAGCAATGACTTGCAGAGGTCCTGGGTTCAATTCCCAGCACCCACATGGTGGCTAACACCTGTCCATAACAACAGTTCTAGGGGACCCGATGCCCTCTTCTGACCTCTGAGATCATTGCACACACAACATGGGTGCACTGACATACATGCAGGCAATATACTCATACATATAAAAAATAATAAAAATAATAAATAAAATTTAAAAAATCTTTTATGAGTCAGTCTTCTTTAAGGGTATGACTCTGGGTAGGTTAACCAGGCTTTAATAGATGGATTGACACTGAAGGATGTTTGGGGACACTAATTTGACTTGATAGGAATATATACACACATATATACATATATATACATACATATAATAGAGTATGTGAAATTAGGTGGGAGTAATCAAAGGGAGTGCAGATAATGGAGGAGAGTCTAAATATGATCAAAATATATTGCATGAAATTTGTAAAAATTTAATTAAAGAAACTTAAAATCTCATTGAATTTGCTCTTAGACAACTTTATACACATACAGCACATTCTGATTACTGTCACCATCTCCCCCTTCTCTTCCTCTTACCACTTTTCCCACTCTCTTCCTCCAGGAAGCCATTCCTGGAACGTAAATCCAGTTAAACACCAAGGCCGAGGAGGCCTTAGGCCCTGGGATGGAGCTGGGGAACTTAATTGTTTAGCTAAACTGACACAACACCAAACTGCCTTCCAAATACTTACTTTTAATTCACAAATGCTGCTGTCAGTCTTAAGCATAGAAACTTCCCTTCACAATGGTGGTGAATGCGGAGCCACGAGGCTGCTCAAGAGTTAGTGCGGATCCCTAGCAGGTTAAATTCTAACCCTGGTGTCCCAGTGTCATCAGCCGTGGACATGACTCAGCTCTCCTTGCTGACCTTGTGTGACACCCTGAGCCCAGAGGGTAGTGTGTATAAGAAAGATGAAAGTCTGTAGGAATTTTGAATCTGAGATGATTGTTGTAATTATACTGGAAGTAAAAATTTACACTGTAGCTACGAGCTGAGACCATGATTTAATGTAGCATTCCAATGAAGCTCAATCAACGATTAGCTGAGTCAAGTGCACTCACGGCTGTGAAATTAATAGGAAATAAAAACTTCTGTGACATCCAAGTTTGTTCAGCGATACGTCTCCTTCCATTACATAGGAGATATTTTTAATTAAATTCAACAAACATTAAGCACATTGTGTTAAGTTATAAAGATGAATAAGACTTGGTCCACAGCTTGCAGTGTGCATTTGGAACTCGGCTATTAAGGGATTAAGGAACGATCTTAGACTGTTCCATTCCCTCTAGACCATATGGGTTTAACTTTTCCACTTACAAGTTTGTGGATTGGAAAGCAAAAGTAAGGTACCCCAACCACTTGGCACTCAAGGGGGAAACATAATATAGTTAGCCCAAAGGATACAGGATACTGTAGGAATGCTCTGTGCCTGGAAAGATGGGTCTTGGTTGGGGTTGTCTGGCAGATGGCCACTGCGTGCCTCCCCTCCTGTTTGACTGCTTTTACGTGCATTGCCCATTGTCCATGGTCCAACCCCAGGGAAATGAACCAAGGAATTGAAATCAGAGGCTCTTTGTCTCTCTGATGGTGAGAATATATCAGCTCTACAACTCTTGCCTCCAGTGAAAGCCATGGTTTCTTTCTTTGGGCTGGTTTTAATATCTGCAGAAAGGGAGGTTGTCACTCAGTGTGGCACCTGGCCACTTCCTATTGTTCAAGATTTTGATGCAACGATTCCTCTGATTGCTAACAAAGGACAGGGTGGTGGGCAGGTACTGACTGGGCTTCAGGCAGCAGGATGAATCTGGGATGTTGATCAAGATAGAGGAATGGTACGCGGGAAAAGAGAACTGTACCAGAGGTAAGCAGTGGATGATAAACAGGCCAAGCCAGTGAATTTGGGTCTGTGAGACATTACAGAGAGACAGATAAAGGAAGGATCAAGAAAGAAATTGAGTAACTCCAGACTTGGTCAAGTAGGGACCAACAGAGCCAAGTCAGGACACTGTCAGAGGTCTGGGTAGTAGCCACAATGGCCAAAGGCCAATCTGGGGTGCCTTCCTGAGAGGATAAAGCTTTGATTGGCACAATGCTGCTGAAAGCATCTCTAAAGTGGATCTGTATACCAGAGAAGCACTTGCACGACTGGTCTGGTTGCTTCTCCAGGGAGGACCGGAGGAGCCTGGGAGAGGCTTTGTGAGGGGCAGATGATGAATACACAGCGGGCAGGTACTTGGGTTGGGTAGCAATGGGGCGGATAGGGCCAGCACACTTGTGTTGGGGAAGGCGGTCAACTACATGTTTTGGGTATCTGCATTGTGTCACCTGCCCTGCACATCTGCTCTCATCAACATTGCAGGTAGCACATGGTTGTAGGCATGGTCACTCTTGTAGCCTGTAGGCTGCACATGGCCAAAGATAGCTATGAATGTGACATAAACTGTAAGCTTAAAACATTGAGAGTTTTTGTTGCAAGTTTTGGAACTCAAATGCATGGTTCTTGAACATGAACTTTGTAGATGACAACATTGTGGCCCAACGTAAAAGGATGGACATGCTTGCTAGAGGGATCAAGAAGGGCTCACCAGCTCCTGCCCTTTGTCACACGGGGAGAGAGGGAAGGAAAGGGGAAATACATCTCCATTTTTGTTTTATTTCCAAGATACTTCCTCAGAATCTTTTTGGCCTGAGAGCCAGTGCTGTTTGTAGGGTAAATGAGGGAGTGGAACAGTCACCTCTGACACTCAGAGTGGCAGATGCCAAGTGTGGGTACACACATGCACACATGGGTATGGGTATATATAGACTACCTATTTGAAATGGATCCTGTGGATGTTAAATTCTATACCTCACACTCTGGTGTGTGTGTGTGTGTGTGTGTGTGTGTGTGTGTGTGTATGGTGTCAAGGGGAAATGCTACCTTAGAAGATTAAACATAATCACACAGAAACAGAAAAACACACTTTAGTTTTAGACACATTTACATTCTTCGGTCTGGAGAGATGGCTCAATAGTTGAGTGCTTGTTGCTCTTACAGAGAACTTGGTTTGGGTTTCTAGTATCCATACGACAGCTAGCAACTGCCTATAACTCCAGCTCCAGGGATTCTTCTGGCCTCTGTAAGCTCTTACACACACACACACACACACACACACACACACACACACACACAGAGCATACACACATAAATAAAAAATCTAAAAAGAAATTCACATTCTTTATGCTTCTCACAGGACATGGGTAAAGGGAAGAGTAGACTTGCATAACTAGGTTACAATAAAGATGTAAGCAGTACTCATAGCTCTTCTGAAAGTTCATACAGCCCACATATGATATGTGATAATGATACAGTCTTTTGTTCAATAAACATCTGAAGGGTTCATACTGAGAAATAGTGTGTGATCACTACAACACTAGGCATAGAAGCTGTGAAGTGGAAACTCACGGAGACAGCCCAGCCAAGCGAGGACACACAGAAATACATCTTGAACTGCTGAGTCCCAGGAAAAAGTGCAGAGCCAGGAAGGCTCCACAGAGGAGGGCACCTGAGCTGAAGTTTGGAGTATGTGACGCTTAGTATTGTCATCTTGACAGAATCTCCTAGAAGACAAGCCTCTGGGCATGAGTGTGGGGGATTATGTAGAGTAAGTTAACTGTAGATTAAGCTAACTGTGGGTGGCAGCATTCCCTGGGTTGAGGTGCTGGACTGAATAAAAAAAGGAGAAAAAGATTCATCTCTCTCTGTTTCCTGACTGTGGGACACAATGTGATCAACTGTCTCAAGCTCCTGCCACCATGACTTCCCACTAAGGCAGACTGTACCCTCAAACTATGAGCCAAAACGAACCCTTCCTTCCTTAAGTCTGCTTCTTGTCAGGTATTTTGTCACAGCCATGGGACAGGTAATACAGAGTATGGGTATGAGTTTGCTGGACAGAAGCCTGAGGATAGTAAGGGAGTGGTAACACCCCAGTGTGGATCACGCCTGGGAGACAGGTTAAGGAGCTAAAATAACAAGAATCTTCTATTCCGTGCTGTCTCTCTATATGTGTAGTACAGAACTGAGCGAGACCTGCTGAATGACCACCTGGATGAACAAATAGCGTACATTTAGGGAAGAGTGTGAAGGATGGTTTGGCAAGTGGTACGTCTCTGTCCTGACCTAAAAGGAGAAAAAGATTCATCTCTCTCTGTTTCCTGACTGTGGGACACAATGTGATCAACTGTCTCAAGCTCCTGCCACCATGACTTCCCACTAAGGCAGACTGTACCCTCAAACTATGAGCCAAAACGAACCCTTCCTTCCTTAAGTCTGCTTCTTGTCAGGTATTTTGTCACAGCCATGGGACAGGTAATACAGAGTATGGGTATGAGTTTGCTGGACAGAAGCCTGAGGATAGTAAGGGAGTGGTAACACCCCAGTGTGGATCACGCCTGGGAGACAGGTTAAGGAGCTAAAATAACAAGAATCTTCTATTCCGTGCTGTCTCTCTATATGTGTAGTACAGAACTGAGCGAGACCTGCTGAATGACCACCTGGATGAACAAATAGCGTACATTTAGGGAAGAGTGTGAAGGATGGTTTGGCAAGTGGTACGTCTCTGTCCTGACATTACAATCCACAAAGCAATGCCTTAAGGTTTCTAGACAGGGTGGAAAAGAATCTTCTCTACATGTCATCCTTGATTTTAAACCACAAAATGAAAATTTTCATCCAGTTCTGAGCTATCTGGGCAATACACCAACACCTAAGTGACAAAATATTTTGAAAATAGTACATTTGGATCTCAGGTTCCTTTGTCAGTTGCGTGATGTCCTGCTTATCTCTATAATGCTTTGGATGGAATCGCATTAAAACGATTTGGCCCTTTTACAGAATTATCTCTTTCCACTGCTGTCAAGACACACTCTATAGGAATTTTATTTTCCATCACCAAACTTACAATCAGTCAATCTTCAGGTCACACTTTGTTTATATATCAAGTCGGAGCACAATAAAATCAGTGCAATAAAAGCTCGTAAATTCAGCCTCCAGTTACCAAGTCATTATGGATTCAAGACCTAAGTTCTGTTCTTAAAAGCCTTTATGAAAAAGATAAAAGCTTTAGACTCAGCTATGAGAGATTTTTTTTACCTCTTTCTTTCAGTGTGTGTGGGTGGGACACATGTGTATGCATTCATGTGTATGACTGTCAGAGGACAACCTTGGCTGTTGGTCCTTGCCTTCCACCTTGTTTGAAACAGATTTTCTTTTCTCTTTTCTTGCTGTGTAGACCAGGCTAGCTGGCCAGAGATCTTTTGGGAATTCTCCTGTCTCTGCCCCTCATCTCTGTGTAGTGGGGCACTAGGATGACAGATGATCCTGTTATGTGCCCAGTTTTTACACGGGTTCAGGAGATTTGAACTCAGGTCTTCACGCTTGCACAGCAAGATCTTTTATTCACTGAGCTATTTCCCCAGACCAGATTCAAGTTATCTTGAAGAAAACTAATTACCAAACCAATTTCCTGGAGTGAATCACATAGCCTTCCAGCTTTTAGAAGCTCTGGAGAACACAGCTTTTGTTTCTACAGTAACCTCCACTCAGAGAACAGCTATTTCAGGGTGCAGTAATAGACCATTACAATAAACAAGATGCCATCATCCTATATAGGAGGAAACTAAGTAGATAGCTCATTGGTATATCCATAGGTGTACTGAGGATTTTAAGTCACATTGAAACAGAAGCAGAACCAGTTTCCAGCCAGGGGCCCAGTTGTCACTTAAGGGGCTTCTGGATACTGCTTTTCCCATCTATCCTGACTCCAGAGTTGCCAAGGGATCCATGTCATAGTCTAGACTCAATGTTGACCCCTTTATGCATGCCATCCTTGATATATAACTGAAGCCATGCTTTGCTTTGAGCCTATCCAAATTCTCTTTTATTTAAATTTCATTGAGATTTAATACATTGAAATTTAAATAAACTGTTTGGAGAGACACCCCATACTTCCTGTGGCATGCAGTGTCCCTTCTTCCAAGTTAATAAACATAATATTGTTAGGCTAAGCTGTTTATCTTAGCTGACTGGGTTAGGACAGTAGATGAACCTGGCATTAAGATTAAAATTTATTTATTTATTTATTTATTTATTTATTTATTTATTTATTTTAGAGGATCAGAAATTCAAGGTCCAGCCTGGGCTACATGAGACTGTGTCTTAAAACAAACACAAAACAAAAGAGGGAGTTGAGTATTTCCTCCATTATAAGTGGCTTTATCTTTTTATTTATTTATTTATTTATTTATTTATTTATTTATTTATTTATAGACAGGGTCTCCCCATAGCCCCAGCTATCCAGGAACCCACTACATAGACCAGGCTGGCTTCCATTCCACAGAGATTCTCCTGCCTCTGCCTTCTGAGTGCTGAGATTAAAGGCGTGTGCCACCATGCCTGTGCCTGGGTAACTTATTTATTTTTATTTTATGTGTAGGAATGTTTTGCCTGCATGTACGTAAATGTACCTGTGTTGTGCAATGCCCAGAGAGGCCAGAAGAGGGTGTCAAATCCCCTGGAACTGGAGTTACTGACAGTTGCTAGTTGCTACATGGGTGCTGGGAACTGAACCCAGGGCCTCTGCAAGAGTAGCCAGTGCTCTTAACTTCTGAGCCATCGCTCCAGCCCCTGGCATTAAAATTTCACTGGGAAATTATGAAAGGGAGTTGATGAAGATGAACACTAATGAGCAAACACTTCCAACCCCGGAAATATGGTGTTTCCCCCTGAAATCTTTAGATTTGAGAATGGCATTTATGTAAGCTGTCTATAAAGTTCACTTGTGTATCAGTGTTTAGACTTTGAAGTATGTGGCTGTATTCTGTAATTATTGATGCCTACATACACACCAGAAAGGCTTACCTCAGCAGACCTATGTTGCTCAAGCTTGGCATGTTCCATTTAAGGCTGGTCTTCCTTGCACAGCTTCTAGGAGCCTGGAACACACCGCCTGAGTGTGCTCTATGCTATGCAGTGTGAGGAGGTGATTTATGCCAATGTACTGACTGGCAGTTTGTCTGCTTCTACGTGCCTGACACCCTGTCTACCTTGTCAGAGGGACCTCTTGGTGCTAGTGTGAGCCCTGTGGAAGCTGAGTGCCTCTGGGCCCAGCTTTCAGTTGAATACCTGGGCACCAAACTTAGGTGAGCATCTCTGGTTGGCAGTATCTGGCTTGACTTGCCACATACCATTGTTAGGGGTTTAGGTGCCTCCTGGTGGGCCTCTACTGGAAGGGCACACCTGGAAGTCGGTACTTGGATTCTCCTGGACTTGACCCATGCACCATTTCCCCCTTGCTCATTCTATTTTTATTTTTATTTTATTTGTATGAGCGTATTGCCTGCATGTATGTGAGCGCACCATGTCACGCAATGCCGTGGAGGTCAGACGAGGGCTTCGGATTCCCTTGGAACTGGAGTTAAGGACGGTTTGTAGTCGCCATGTGGGTGCTGGGAATCAAACCCGGGTCCTCTGCAAGAGCAGTCAGTGTTCTTAACTGCTGAGCCATCTCTCCAGCCCCTATTTTTTAATTTTTATTTTACCCTTGCTCATTCTAATCATATTCTTTTATGTAATAAAGTGAGGAATGAGCACATCTTTTCTGAATCTTTAAGTCTCATTGTTGGCTGCCCAGGGTCATATTGGGGATCTCTAACACAATATGTCACATGAGCAAGTCATCTCAGAGGTAGTTCATGAAGGTGAGAAGCCTCCATGTCTGTTGGGCCCTGCCACACCTTTCCACACAGGCTCACCTTTTCCACAGGTGGTGGAGCATTCTGTCATCCCCAGCTGTTTCCAGTTGTGATCTCGGTTTCGCCTCGGGGGCTGTGGTGCTGGAGGCACCAAGTTGTCTGGTCGATGGGAAGAAAACCTATCTGGATGCCTGACTGGGAAGGTCTGTGCTGATTCCGATGTGAAATGTTCAGGGGTTTTGCCATGCAAGTCCTCCTTGTCCTCGCTCTCGTTCTCGTCTCTGTCCTCCTGGCTTCTCCCTTCTGTTTCCAGCTGCTCATTGAAAGGTTCCCCTAGGAGAGACAGCACACACAGAGAAGCGAGATTCCTTTGGATATTGAGTTCAAAGAGGAGACTGCATCACCATTAGCGATACTACAATGAGCTCATTTTAAATCCCAGCTTATAAGTAAACGGTATTTTAAAAAGGAAACATTCATTTCTTTAATTGTTAAAGATCAATAACAAAAAGGTAGGGATCACAGGAAGACAACCCACCCCCTAAAGATACAAATAGCCAAAAGTCATTAAAAAAACTCTCAACTTCACTACAACTCTTTCCCTCACAATAAGGGTTGGAAAGTTTGGAACACTTAAGTCCCCAAACTCCCTACTTGAAGGTGCAGAAAAACACACTTTCATTCACTGTGCATGAGCCTGCAAACAAACGCCAATGTCTGAAGAACAACTTGACACCAACCCTCCAAAGTTTAATGTACATATTCATTGACCTACTTATTCATTTTCTAGAATATTTATCATACACAAATTCTAATCCTTCTACTTAAAGCTGGTTATAAATATGGTTACTAAAATATTATAGGAAATAGCAAAAAAATAGATGTCAATGTTTACCAGTAATAGTAGTTAAAATACATTATAGTACAGCTGTGAAACAGAATTCTAAAAGTGAATCAGCACAGGTATGACTAACAGGGAGACATGACTGACATGGTGTTATCCCACCTAGAATTCTGTCCCCCTAACACAAGTTAGGTGGTTTTATGAGGCTGCTACTGTGGGCACCTCAGTGGAGTTAGCATGGACAGATAGGGTACAGATGATGCATTCGGCCATCCTAGACTCTAGGACCTTTCCTTATTCTTGTGTGTGTGTGTGTGTGTGTGTGTGTGTGTGTTTTATATCACAAGTGTACAGCTTCTGTATTGACTGAGATGGAATTTTCTGCCAGTTTCAGAAAAGGTACAAGTTAAGGTTGGATTTGAGTTGACTAATAGAAAACAGTGATATTTTATATTCCTTATATACTTGAGATTGTAGACAATGCTCAAATCATCTGCAGACATGCTTACATTTGAATAGAAAGGGTCTAGGCAGAATCCCAGAAAATCAAGAGAGAGTCCCTCTGGGAAGAAGATGGAGCTAAAGACCGTTGCTTTTTTGTTTTGCTTCAATTTATGTTATTATTACTTTTTTCTTTTCATGTGTATGTGCATGCGTGCATGTGTGCTCACATGTGTTTGAGTGCACATGTACAGGGGCATGTGTACATGAGTGTGCATGAGGCCTGAGGTTGATGTCAGGAGTGTTCTCCATTGCTTTCCATCTTATTTAAGGCAGGGTCTCTCAACTGAACCCAGAGCTCCCTGATCAGCTAATCTAGCTGGGCAGTCTGCTCCAGGGATCCTGTCTCTGCCTTCTGAGTGCTGGAATTACAGGTGGGCTGCCGACCTACCTGCAATGATGTGAGTCTGGAGATCTGAACTCTGGTCCTCACTGTTTCTGGTTATCAGCCTTGATGCTATTTTTTAAGAGCAATGTTAGATGAGCAGAAGGCACAAAGATCAAGGCTCCCCAGAGTATTCTCAGGGGTCCGTATACAGGAAAGAGGCAGGCGACTGAGAATAAGAGGAGGAGATGGAATGATGAAGACACTTGAGTCAGAGTGAGATTTGGAGTTTGTACCTTGTTGGATTTGGAGGTGGAGGAAGGGGCCAGGAGCCAAGAAGCATGAGGCTTCTAGAAGCTGAAATAGGCAGGGAATGGATTCTTCTGGAGCATCTACAGTGATCCAGGCTCTGCTGACACCTTGGTCTTGGCCTTGTGAAATCTTTTTCAGACCTCTAACCTTCAGAACTGCAAGAGAGTCATCCGTGTCTTGTTCTAAGCTACTGGATGGATGGAGGTCATTTGCTATAAAAGCAACAGGAAGCCAAAACAAGGCGTCTTGAATGCTGGGCCAGGATGCCTGCTTGGGCTTTGATCAAGTGAATGAAACATTCCTATTGGTGAAGCTTGAATAGCAAAGTGTGCTCTGATACCAAGTCCACTGACTTGAAATGCGTGTTCATGGGTTTTCCTCTGCATCGGTGGGGAGACAGAGAGTAGAGGCATAAGGAGAAAGAGAGAGAGAGAGAGAGAGAGAGAGAGAGAGAGAGAGAGAGAGCTGGAAAGGGAGTGAGAGAGTGAGAGGGAGGGAAGGAGAGAAAGAGAGGTTCAAAAGGAAGTGACTCAGAACGCTTGGTGGTGAAGTGGGCTTTTTACCTGGTCTCCGCTGAGGTGGCACCTGTGGGTTGATAGCATTGTTGCCCATGATCACATATTCATAGTGGACTCCAGGGTTAGGCTGCTGGTGTATCATCTGAGGACACAAAGCCAATGTCACCACAATCTGCACATAGACATATCCTCCTTCCTGCTGGCTTGGGTTTCAACAGTGTAAGCAGAGCTATAGCTAAGTGTGTGAGTTTATTCACATCTGGAAGTTGAAGCAAACCTATTTGCATTTAACACTTTATTTTAAATTTATTTTCATTTATGTGTGTGTGTGTCTGCTTGTCTGTGCACTATGTGTATGCAGTGTCCATGGAGGCCAGAAGAGGACATCATATGCCCTGGAATTGGAGTTACTGACAATTGTAAACCACTTGATATGGGTGCTGGGAATCGAACCTGTATCCTCTGCAAGAGCAGCTGGAGGTCATAACTGCTGAGCCATTCCTCTATCACGGGTTGCTTTTGACAAATGAAGAACTTTATGTGTGAATGACTCAGAAAAGTAGGCAAATGGTCAAGATTTTATAAAGATAAAAGTCAAAGTTTTATAAAGTCCTAATAGGACAGGATCCACAGTAGCAGAACCTGCCTGTGGCCTGCAGCCATCCTAAACCATGGCCAAGGTCTGTGGTCTCCAAATGCTTCAAATAAAAATGTTTACACTGCAGAGGAACTGTTTGAACAGTAGGTGGCGATACAGAGTCACACAGACAAGAACCAGACCTGGGCAGGCCTGGCCTAGAGCATCAGGGCCCTTTAATGTCCTTTACTTGGTCAGTCAAAGTCTGCCCCGAACTCCCCCTTGTACGCTGCTTGGGTCTCACCCACTTTTATGCACAGAAAGCCCTAGAACCACAAAGAGATGGAGTGAAAAAAGCAAAGAAAAAGAAACAGGCATAAGAAAAGTCAATCTGCCTGGGCCATATTCTTCGAGGAACCAACAACAAAAACAAATGAATGAATAAATAAATGATGAAAAACAAAAATAAAAATACATTGGATGGCAAGCAGAAAGCTGCACAGGGGTGGAAGGCAGCATCTGAACAGGGTCTGGGACAAAGTCATAAGAAAAGTAAGCAAGGCCAGGAGAGCAAACCCCTTCCCACTGGCCCTTGACCACAAAGTCCTTTGTGTTCTCAGTTGTTGCAGTGGAAGGCAGATGATGGCTACATGGTGCTGACCAGCTCCACAACCCAGAGCCAGTTCCTGGAGCCCAGTTTTTGATTTCCTCATCTGGAGAAAGAGAAGGAGAATCAAGGCTGACTTCTGAGGCCCTGTTGCCTTGCAAGCCTCCCTGGGTTACTTCTGCATTGGAGTCCTGTATCTTCCCACATGTGGCCTCTTACCACTTGGGAAATGGGTCTCCATCTCATCTCTCACCCAGGGGCAGGCAGATGTGAGAGGCACTGGCCTCCTCACACCAGGAATCAAGTCCAACTCACTGGCTATGTGGAAGCATGGCGCTGAGCATGGGACCCCTGAGGGACACAGTTGTGTGACTGACGTCCACCCACCCCCTCACTTCCCTTCGTACACACTCTGTTACTCCTACTCTCCTTCTCCCATGCCTCTTCTGTGTGAGGAAACCCTGGATTCTGCCACCATGAATCTTGTACTGTTTATGAGGTTATTGTTGGCCACCTTTCTTAGACCACCCACAGGAGATCTTTCACGAGCTAAGCCTTTGCCTCTGATACCATTCAAAATTTACCCAGAGTCAACCAACAAAGTGGATGGGCTAAAAAGAAAATATGGCCCCAATTAGCTATAACAAGGCTGCCTTTGCAATTTCTGGCCTACTACCCCTCAAGAGGAACAGACAGAACTTTACAGTTGGAGAAATGATCACAGAGCAACGAACAATTTTTCTAAAACTTTTACAGAGTAAATATCATGGAGCTCAGTGTGGTGCTGGGGACAGTAAGCAAATATGTATGTTTGTGGGCAAGCTCATTCTTGTTAGCCAAATATTATTTTAAGCTTTTATTTCTTGTCAGCCTCTAATTCCTCATCTTTTTCAGAAGACTAGATTCTAGTTCTCTCTCTCTCTCTCAATCTCTCTCTCTCTCTCTCTCTCTCTCTCTGTATGAGAGGTGAGAGGTCAACCTGGAATATCATTTCTTAGGAGAGGACCACCCTGTGTTTTGAGACAGAGTCTTTCACTGGGATCTGGAGCTTGCTGATTTGACTAGACTGGTTGGCCAACAAGCCCCAGGGATCCTCCTGTCTCTGCCTCCGTTCTGGGATTATAGGCATGTGTCACCATACCAGGCTTTTACGTGGGTGTTGGGGATAGAACTTAGAGGGTCCTCAGCCTTGCAAGACAAGCATTTTACAGACTGAGCTATCGCCTCAGGTCCCTCTAGTAGTTCCTTCCTTCCTTCCTTCCTTCCTTCCTTCCTTCCTTCCTTCCTTCCTTCCTTCCTTCCTCCCTCCCTCCCTCCCTTTTCTTTCTTTCTTTCTTTCTTTCTTTCTTTCTTTCTTTCTTTCTTTCTTTCTTTCTTTCTTTCTTTCTTTCTTTCTTTCTTTCTTTCTTTCTTTCTTTCTTTCTTTCTTTCTTTTTAAAAAACAACCCAGAAATTTAATATTTTGGTTCCAAGTAAACCACGGCTCTGTCTTGTGTGAAGCAGAGCACTTGCAGTGCCACTGTATAATGTCTCCCTAAACTTTATCATCTGGGATCATCCGGAGTGCCCATTCCTTCACTTGCCTTAATGGAGTCTGAAGAGGGCTGGCACTGTGAGCAGCCTGTTTTGCACTTGGCATTTACTCTCTTTTGCCATAAAAAGAAAACATGCCAAATTAGTATTAGGAGGAAAGTGCCTGGAGGTGTTCCAGTGCTCGTGAAATGGAGGATACGTTTGCCTCTGATTCGGTTCAACAAGTAAAATTGGTTTTACTGGGTCAATAAACTCCGATGGTAATAAAGCACCTGGTAGAGTTTAAGTTTTCTGGGAGCTAGGCACACGCAGAAGTCAATGTCAAAGACCAATGCCAAGCACTGATGGTGTCCACCGAACAGGCTCCTTGAAATTGATTTTATCCAGCCTGTGCAAGGGTGTGTTGCTTATTTGTTCTAAGTGTGTTTCTTGGAAGCAATATGATACAAAATCCAGAGAGTTCTCCAGAAACTTCCAGACTCACATAGACGTCCAAGATCTCGTTAGTGGGACCTTCAGCCAAGAAGGACTCTCCAGCAGTACTTGAGATTTCGTTTGGACGCTTGTAGGTGAACATCGTCCCTCCACCTTCATATTTCCCAGGGCGGTCGATTGCCCAGTTCCCGTTGATGATGGAGCGGCCAGAACGACTGCGCAAGGCTGTTGACACACATGAAGACAGTTCTCTGGTAAGCGCAGGGTGGTGCACAAGAAAGTGACGTGAGCACCCCATTCTAGGCCCTGGGGGACTCAGGGTTAGAGAGCAAATCACCTCCGACCTCACTTCCTCACCCCACCCATTCCCTTCCACGTGGACTCAGCACAGAAATGAAGGATGGAAGAAAAGGATGTAGAATGCCGCAGGTGAAGACAGTAGGGAGGGATGTGGAGGGGGAAGGGAAACTAACTGGCAGGGTAGCATTGCTGGGGTGAGGGGTTGTAACTGGCAGCCCACGTGCTGATTTTGGCCCATGGATAGGCTTAATTTGGGTTTTGTAGTGTTTTAAAAATTTTTTAAAAAAATAATGGAGCCTAAATTTAAGAATTGGGAGATTTCACATAAAAACTTTAGACTCCCAGCTTTTCTTGTAAAACAGGAAGACATGTTAACATTGGCTCCAAGGCAGCGGGCAGCAGGAGCTGAGGGTTCCTTTTTTCTTTTTTGACACAGGGTCTCCCTGTAGCACCAGCTGGCCTGGAGCTGGCTATGTAGACCAGGTTGGCCTCCATCTCACAGAGATCTGCCTGTCCATGCCTCTCGAGTGCTGGGGTTAAAGGCACCACCTTGCTAGCCTACATTTTTTTTTTTTTTTTTTTTTTTTAAAGATAGGAGACCTGCCTGCTGTGATTAGTCCTGTCCCCACTCATTCCGCATTGTTTCTCAACACGGAGGCTGAGTCTCACTTTATTCCTCATTTACCAACATGGATCTTTTTTTTAAAATTTTATTCATCACTTTTATTTCATGTGTATTGCCTGCATGTATGCGAGTGCACCCGTCTCGTGCAATGCTGTGGAGATCAGAAGAGGGCATCGGATTCCCTGGGAACTGGAATTAAGGACGGTTTTTAGCTGCCATGTGGGTGCTGGGAATTGAACCCGCATCTTTTGCAAGAGCAGTCAGTGCTTTTAACCACTGAGCCATCTCTCCAGCCTGAATACAGAATTTTTATAATGTTTATTAGCATGTTTGTCTTTTCCCTTACAGAATAGAATTTTCCTTATAATTCTGCTTGCATGCTTACTGAAGGTAGCAAAGTCATTAAGTGGGCCCCTTGATTTTCTGCAATTCCTGGTCATCTCCATTTATTTCTAGTCCCTTCCTGAGTTCTGTGGGCTTTAAAAAAATCCTGTGTGTATGTGTGTGTGTGTGTGTGTGTGTGTGTGTGTGTGTGTGTATGTGTCCATGTGGTGGCCCAAGGTTGATATCAGGAGTCTTCCTTGCTACTTTCCACTGTGTCCATTGAGGCAAGGTCTTTCTGGGGATCTCTTCTCCACAGAGCGATGGAATTACATGTAGGCCACCACTCCCACCCAACCTTTACATGAGTCCTGGGGATCCAAACTCTGGTCCTTGTGCTTCTGTCGCAAGCACATTAGTTACTGAGCCACCTCCCCAGGTTTTATGGGCTTTTAAACCTGTGGGAGGTGTTAGATACTCCTGCATATGATGTCAGATGTAACCCTCACTATGTTGCTAAGCAACTGCTCTTAGCCTCATTCCTACTGGTTATTGTAATTTGAATGTGAAATGTCTTCCATATATTCATGTGTTGGGACACTTGGTCCCCAGATGGTGGTGTTGTTTGGGAAGGTTGTGGAACCTTTAGAAGATGGAACCTTGCTGGAGGAAATAGGTCACTGGGGGTGGACCTTGAAGTTTTATGGCTGGGCCCTGCTTCCTGTTCATCATTCTGCTTCCTGACTGCAGCTACAGTGTGACCTTCTATCCTTCTGCCACAACTTCCAGCACTGTGAGACAAAATAAACCCTTCGTTATGTAACTAATACACTGGTTCAGAGAACTGAGGGAACTTGTTCAAGTTCATGAGGATTATAAGTGCTTTGGAATGAGGATTATCTGTGCTTTGGAAATCAGAGTAAGGAGGGGGATAAGAAAGGAGAGGGCAAAGGAAGAAGGGGTTTGGATTAGTAAAGGGTGGCCTCTGATAGAATTTTTTCAGATACATTTGGCACCCTGAAGCTCTCATGACAGCGGTGGATTAGGTTTAAAGAAGTCCCTGTTTTAGGAGCTGTTGTCAAATGGCCTTCTAAATATTTACGTTCACACCTATAAAGTAGAGCTGCTCTCAGCCTTAGAGACCCTCTTCATGCAGTGGGCAGCAAGGCCGAGACACAATGTCGGTGAAAGTGCTAAAAAGAAGTGACTGTTGAGTGCTCAGCCCTAAATGGGACATTTATATCAACCCCGCAAAGCCCAGGGAACATCTCAGAAGAGAGGGTGGAAAGAATGTAAGAGCCAGATGGTGGGAGGAGTGCTGTGCAATGCTGTCTTCTGGCCATGACATGGCCACTGCACTCATGAACTCGCTACAGCAACGGACACCTGCATAAGATCAAGCCAATAGGATCAGTCAACATTCTAGCTGGTAGCACTAATTGGATTTGGTAGGTTAAAACAGAAACAACAGAAAGAGGACATGAAGGCGGGAGGGACGTGTTGGGGGAAGTAGAGGGAAAACTGGGGGTGAGTATGAACAAGGCTCATTGTCTACAGGGACAGCGTTGTCAAAGAATAAAATATATTCTAAAAAAATCAACATAGAGGTCAGGTGTGGTGGCACACGCCTTTAATCCCAGCACTTGGGAGGCAGAGGCAGGCGGATCTCTGTGAGTTCCAGATCAGCTGGGGCTACAGGGAGACCCTGTCTCAAAAAGACCACCCCCCCCCCAAACAAACAAACAAAAAACCCCATAGATATTAACATTAAAAAAATAAATCCCCATTTTTTTGATTTATTATTTTATAGTATGAGTGTTTAGCCTGCATGTATGTAAGTGTATCACATGTGTGCAATGTTCATGGAGGCCAGAAGAAGAGGGCATCAGATGCCCTGGAAGTGGAGTTATGGACAGTTGTTAGTCACCATGTGGATTCTGGGAACTGAATTCAGGTTCTCTGCTAAAACAGAGCTCTTAGCCACTGAGTCATCTCTCTAGCCCTAACCCCATTTTAAATGCCATGCATATAGTGGGCCTGTGGTGCCATTATCTCTTTGTAACTCCCTTCCCCCAATCACAGGTCATTTATTTTCAATAAGGATCAAATTCATGGCCTATCTTGTTTCACTCTGCAAATCTTAGTCTCCTAGTAGCCCCAGCTGGCCTGGGACTTACTATGTACACTAGGCTGACCTCAAACTCACAGAGATCTACCTCCCTCTGCCTCCTGAGTGCTGAGATTAAAGGCACTCAGACATCTCCCACATCCCTCTCTTGCCTGATTATAGTAACAAAGAATCAAGGGCAGAGGCTGAGAAATAACAGGTTCAGTTTTCTTTTTAATTAAAATTATTTACAGGGGCTGAAGACATAGCTCAGTTGGTAGAGTGCCTTCCTAGCATGCATGAAATCCCAGGTTCCATCCCCAGCACTGCATAAAACCAGTTGTGGTGGCTCACAGTACTTGGTAGCAGAGGCAAGGGGATCAGAAATTCAAGGTCATCCTTGTCTACTTGGTGAATTCGAGGTCAGCCTGGACTACATGAGACCCTGTCTCAAAAAAGAAAATCACATTAAGAAGAACATTTTGGGCCAAAGAGATGGCTTAGCAGTTAAGAGAGTTTACTGTTCTTCCAGAGGACCTGAGTTCTGCTCCTAGTACCCAGGTTGGGTGGTTCATAACCACTTGTAATTCTAGCTCTAGGGGATCTGATGTGTACCCCCCCATTCTGGCCTCCAGTGGCACCTGTACACACATGGCATACACATACACAGACACATACACATACAGGTAAAATTTAAAAAATCTTGAAGCACACTTCCTGAGGGTGACCCAGACAGTGGCCCACATTCTCACTTCTCACTAATTCCATAACCATCTGCAGTTTGCCTTCTGTTCTCACCACTCCATTGAAGAAATTAAAATGGTGGTCACTAACACTTCCATGTTTCGAAGTCTGCCCCCTGGCACTAGCTTATCTTATACACCCAGTTCTCTCTACAACGCTGTCCTTTCATCCAGAAATTCTCCCCTCAACTCTAAATCCTGCTCATGCTTTTGATGTCAGCTTCCTGGAAAGCCTTCTGCCCAGTGCAGCCTGTTTCTTCCCTTAAGTGCTCCAAGAGATACAGAGCCTTCCTGCAAGGCCTTTATTCATCTGTCTCGAGTGACTCGGAAAGGAGCAGGGCACTGGCGATTATTCAGTTACAGCTCCAGGGTTCAGCACAGCGCTCACCACATTTGCTGAATGCAAGAATATTTGGTTAAAAAAAGAAAAGTGCTCAGAAGAAGGACTGGCAAAAACAACAACAACAACAAAAACCCAAATAGGCAATTCACAGAGACCAAATTCAAGTACTCCATAAGCAAACCAAGAGCTGCTTACTTATAATGTAAGACATGTAAACCCAAACCACCATGAGTTATTTTTAACCCTCAAATTGGGCAAACATTTAAAAAATTCTGTTACTGCCAGTATTGTCAGGTATGAAGCAAGCAAGTACCCACAATGCAGCTGGTGAGAATTTAGCTTGATTTAGCCACACTGGAGGTCAATTTGATTGCACTGTTAAAACCCTGATGTCTATGCACTTTGGCCCAAGAATTGTACTCCTGGGAAACCACTTGAGCAATATACCTCTACAAACATACGAAAGTGTTTGTTATCATGATATCCTCTGAGCATTTTTTTAAAATAGAGAAAACCAAAAACAGCCTAGATGCCCACCAGTAGAAGACTGCTTAAGTGAGTTCCAATACTGGATATCCGTACAATGGAAGCTCTGATGGTCCTAAAATGAATGAGAGGAGTAGGTGAAAGGAACTCGGTGACACTTTTAAAAAAATGTGTGCATACTGGGACTGGAGAGATGGCTTGGTGGTTAAGAGCACTGGCCTCTTGCCGAGGACCCAGGTTTAGTTCTCAGCATCTACATAGGGGCTAACAACCATCCATAACTCCAGTTCCAGGGGATCT